CGTTAACGATTCCTTTTCTGCGTGCAAGGGCAGTGATTATTAAATACCGTATCCAGGGGGCGACAAACGGTCGAAAAACAACGTGGGAAACAGTCGAGTGGTCCTGTTCCCTCGCGGCGCCATTAGGTCGCTCGCGAGCTCGAAAAACCGAGCACGAAGAGCTATTTCCACCGCCTTGATGACCGTACAAAAGAGGCCTGCCTAGAACACATAGGGTAGCTCAACAGGTAGCTCGGAAAGTACCTTTCATCCCCTGGCGTGTTCCCCGCCCCCTCGGCTCCTTTTATGCTCAACGAGCCCTCCTCGTGCCTACGCACGCACATTCCGCCCCTGGAATTGACATTTCCCAGCGCGGCACGTGCCTCGTCCTGCCCACGATCAAATTCCCAGTTCGTTCCGAGAATAACCGGCACCGTAATACCGTCTGTTTGACGAGCAGTTTAACGAGAAATTCATATAGCTGCACCCCGGAATGATCGCACGCTTCATCGCCGGGAATAGTAAATTGCGAACGAGGCTCGCCCCGCTGCAACTCCCGGGACACTCGATAGACACTGCTGCTCCACGGTTTATTCACTCTTTCGAAATTTTGTACAGAGAGGACGAGCGTATCGTTTGCAATCGGAAGAAGTTCGTCTTTGTCAACTTTGAATACCATTGGTTTAGTTTCTTGGCGGCGAATTCGAATTGATCGATCAATCCTGAACGCTAAAGGAACCGTAGAGGATAAAATTGCATTTTTCGGGATGAAACACGAGATTACCAGTCCTCTGTCGTCAAAATGCTCGGAGTTTCCTTTCGGGCCCCGTTCTTCCAGCGCGAAAAAATGCATAATCCCCGTCGTCCATATTTCATCGTGGAAGAATCGTAGGTAGGAAACCGCGCGGAATCCTCTTTCCTCCGACAGCTACGCGGATTCCAGCTATTTCGAGCGCGAGGGATTATCAGTTATCAGGCGAGCTCCGACGGTCGATTGAATATTCATTCGCGTTACCAATGGCCGAATAACGGATTTCGACGGACGTGTCTAGGCATCCGTGAAACGTCGGGGAGGAACGGAGGAGCGAGAGGAAGCTCCCGGCATCGTTTTTGCCGGTCCGTCCCGGATCGAACCGTTCTACTCGAATTCCTCCGTCCACCGACACCCTTAAGCTCCTTGTTTTAACCGAGCTACGTCTGAATTCGCACCCTGGCTCCGCTAATTCTTCACTCTACTTCGCGATGGTATCTTCTGGCCATTGAACGGCTCAGTTGCAAGTAGACCTTGACAAGTGGTCGGGAAAACAACTTTCTAGTCATTCTTTCTAGTCTAGATAACTGTTGACGAGTTGGAATATAGTGTTACACTGTTCCTCACGGAATAAATCTTTAAACAGATCCTTAGTACTGTCTACTTGGGCAAGTGGTCGAGAAAATACGTTTCTAGTCGATGCTGATAACTGTTGAACAGTTGGAATATAGCTTAGATTGTTCCCTATGGAGTTAATCCTTGAATAGACCCTTGGTACTGTCTACCTGGGCAAGTGGTCAAGAAAACAAGGTTCTAGTCGATGTTGATAACCGTTGACGAGTTGGAACATAGTGTTACACTGTTCCTCAGGGAATAAATCTTTAAACAGATCCTTGGTACTGTCTACTTGGGCAAGTGGTCGAGAAAATAAGTTTCTAGTCAACGCTGATAACTGTTGAACAGTTGGAATATAGCTTAGATTGTTCCCAATGGAGTTAATCCTTAAATAGACCCTTGGTACTGTCTACCTGGGCAAGTGGTCAAGAAACCAAGGTTCTAGTCGATGTTGATAACCGTTGACGAGTTGGAACATAGTGTTACACTGTTCCTCGCGGAATAAATCTTTAAACAGATCTTCAGCAGTGTCTATCTGGGAAAATCTAGCAGAGATAAAAGAAACTCTAATCTTGTTCTTTAAAATTGTAAATGGCGGGATCATTTGTCCCGGGGGCTGCTCCATGAGGATTTCCGTGAATGCAGTCCCGGGATTAGGCTCTTCTGTTCGGACCAACAATGCGCAGAATTAAGCTTCCAAGCTCATAGTGATCCTATTAACGGAATCTGCAATCTAGCAAACAGCCTTACGTTAGTCAAAGCGCGAGCTTTCGCCCGTGTTTAGAACGCAAAAACATCGAACGCTGATTAATCGCGACGGAACGTGGCACGCTGAGTTTGAACGTCGCCTAGTCGCTTCGATTAATTTTTGTTCATTTACGTTCGATCGCGTTACTGAATTCCGATGTTCGGAAGCAAAAAACAAAGGGGGTAATTGGAAGCGTTGTTTTAATTAAATTCGTTTATAAACGGAACGTGTAAATAAATAAATGAACCGCGGTGCATCGACCACCCCATCTGGAATTTAATTCATCCCCGATGGCCGGCCAATTAGGCCGCAGGTGGGAAAAATTCGAACGCATCGAATAACGAGCCCGTTCCTCGATTGTGCGCCCCATTAAAATCGAGAGCCTTTAATCTCGCGCTGGAAGAAGCCTCTGTTGGTCGATAATTTATGGCTGGTACTCAGGGTGATTTTAATGGGTCGGTGATGCGCGGCTGGAACGGGTTTCATTGAGTCGCTTCTTCCGACGCTCTTAATTGTACAGGCGATCCACTCGAATCGCTTTAACGACTCTCGTTCGCTGATAAAAGGGGGAAATATTTCAGACCGGTCAGATTTTGTTTCAGTTCCCATACAGAGAACCGAGGACCTGGCGAAAACTCGTCAAATAGTAGCCAGCACTCCGACGTTTGTTCCCTTTTCGATTTTATTTTACTGGAAAAACTGTAACAGGTGTTGCTATTTATAACGATATACGAATTTATTATTTTCCATAGAAAGTCGGTGTATCGTGTAATAATTAAAAATTAAATTCGTAGTGGGTAAAAATCGATAGGTAAACTCAACTCGTAGAAATAAACTGAACGTAAATGTTGCAGTTCCCCTTGTAATCCTCATTTCTGTTAAAAGCTTCCAAAGGATCCAACGTTAGATTTAGCCATTAATGTCACCCCTACGATGAATTGGGCGCTCGAAAGTCCCCGTCAGCGTCGCGTTTCTTAGGGCTGGGGGGCAAAGAGTGTTTGTAAAGGGCGCGACACTCTTCGACCTTGTCCCTATCCTCGGTGGATCTCGAGTTCCCGCAGTTCTCGCCGTTGGCGTCGCCGGAGTTGCCTAGATCGCGCGATCGATCTTCCCCGTCGCGTGTCAGCAGCAAGTCCCTCACCATTTCCAGCAACTCGACTTCGTTCTTCTCGTCCAGGTCTTCAATCACGCGGAAAGCATTTAACATACCCTCCGCCGCGGCCTTATCGCTCGAGGCAACGGCCTCCTCCGCCTCCCCGCCGTCCCCGCGGCCTTTATCGGCCCTCCAGGAGTTCCCTTTCTCTTCCTCCTCCGACTCGCGTCTCGCCCTTTCTATCACGTAAGTCGCGGTGGTGTTCATCGACGTTCTGCTCGCCTCCTCCTTCAAGTTGTCGTCCGCGTCCAACGCCAGCTCCCTCAACAAGTCCTCGGCGCGTTCAGAGTCAGCCGCGTCGCTGGATGATGATGTCCCTTTGAGGTCCTCGTCTTCCTCGGGGATCGAACTTTTCCGATACGTCCCTGGTGGTCGAGGTGCTGGGGAATATCGTAGAGAATTCTCTAGAAGCAATTCTAATTCTACCCTAGTAAACATAGTTACAATTAACCCCTTGCCTTACGATTTCATTTCCAACTGTGCGTGGCCAAAAGCGACACCAAGGTTTGGCCCCGTAGACTTATCACGTCTCTGAGACGTAATTGCGAGCTAAGGGGTTAATGGTCACCATTATGTGGAGACACAATGTTAAATTCCCACATGAACAGACGTTAACCACTGGGAACAAACATTGTACAACACTGACCAACAACCCGCGACCTTTGGATCGCCAGCCAGTCGCTCTGACCACTGGACCACCACCGTACCGCTACTACTCGTGTCTTAAGGATCCCTAACCCCTACGTGCGGAGGAGTTAGGGTGATCGTGGTAACACCAGGAGAAAACACTCACTTTCCCGATAAGTCTCCATCGAACGAATCGTTATCTCCTCGTCCTCGTCCTCGTCGACCGACGTCTCGCCGCTGGATCCTCCGTCGCGACGCTCCGTAATCACCCTCCTCTGGGAGAACATTGTGGTTATTACGGTCTCCGTTCGTCCGGCGATGCACCGGGTCTCTTCCCTCTTCGAGGACGACGAGAGCTTCGATTCGTCGGCGCCGCCGTATCCGTTCCCGGACGCGATCCTCCCGAGGGCGCGCGTCACTTGATCGATAAGATCGCGAATGTAGGACAGCATCGGATTGTCGCCCTCCTCCTCGGTGATCTTCGCGGCTATCCGTAGCTCGTCCAACGCCTCCGCGAATCTCCCCAGGTTCGCCAGGCTCTGACCTTCGCGATAAAAGGATCGTTTACTCGTCCACTGGCTAGGAAAATGATTTATTTGTATTTCTAGGTCTTTCGTGTCTTGTTTCTACCCAAAGCAAGCGGACGGGACTTGAGTCCCGGAGCGAAGTTATTTAGCAACGATCTTTGATTCGATTCCCAGGCTAACGCCTCGTAATTGATCGTTGCTGATCCCCTAGCCATCGAAACGGTGAAGTTATAATCCGGAGTGTCTAGGAAGTCTTACTCTCGTGGCTGCGGTCATCCTGGCAGTTGCAATTCAAGTGGAATGAACGGCATTAGCATAGCCGCGGATTAACGGTCCGAGGCTCTCGCGGCGGCGATGTTCCTATCAATATTCCAGAACCCTGGGATGTAAATCGTACTCACGTGGAAATTGATTCCGACGTTTCGACGGCGTTGCAGCCAGCTTCATCAGGGGCTCGATAGGCTGGAGATGTTACAGACTGCCGGGGCAGATAGATTGCAGTATTATAGACCGAGGATTAGGTGGATCATAGACCGGTTATACGCATAATATCCATTATGGAAAATCAGATGATCGATTTGGGGGGCATCCAGTGCCTGATTAGGCCCTGAAGAAGCTGGGGCCTCCGCCAGAGCCTTGATGCAAGCTACTTGGATCGGTCTTGGGGACATTTGCAGAACCCTTATAGAGTTTTATATCTCCTCTAGCTCCGATAACATTGAAACTAAGGTCCTGAATACATCCTAAACTCTTCTTTTGGACTTTCCTCGTTAACTGACCTAGTAGAAGTCTCCCGTGTAGCATCCACTTTTCAGAGTTGCCTTTGGAGGCCGCCTCGATGCACCTGGTGGCCATCTCGAGCGCCAGACCGTGCCTTCCGGTCTCCAAATAGCACCTGCCGATCTCGTGCCTGATCCAAGCGACGGGGATCGGTTCCCTGAGGCCTCTGGCCAGGTGTTCCCAAGCCCTAGCGGCGGCGTGGAGGTGTCCAAAGCTCAGGTGCACCTTCCCAAGGGTGACCAGCGCCCGACAGAACTGGACCACGTCGCCGGTGCTCTTGGACAACCTGACCAACCGCGAAACGTTCCACGCTGCTCGATCGTGTCTCCCCAGGGAAACGTGGATCAGCGACAAGTAATGATACGATCCTATCTGATAGCGGCTAGGGTCCTGGAGACCCTCCGATAACACCAGCAACTCCTGCGCTATCTTCAGCGAGGCCGCCATCTTGCCCGACTCGAAACACGATTTCAGATTGTCCAGATACGCGTTCGCCAAGTTGTTCAGCTGTCGCAGCATCGTTTTCGACCGCGCCAATTGGACGCTCGAGGGCCTGGGAGACGGCACTGTCTTCCAGAACCTCTTGTGGTCGTCGAAATAGCTGAAAACAATGCGGAAATCGCATTAACGGATGGCCGGTCGAGCGCTTGCAAGAGAGACAAGAGCCTGGTAAAATTTTTGCATAACAATACCTTTCTATCGGTTTTGAAACAATTATTAATGAAATTGCACGGGTACTATGGGATCAACGCTGACTAGATTGCTACTCGAAAGCTCGAGCTCTCGTTTAGGTACTGCCTACCGTTTTCACGCGAACGATCTAATTGTCTCGTCCGTGCAATTCGGAGTAATATATTGGATCCGAAGTCTTAAGGCTTTCACGGGCGTGCGTTCCCATTGATGCAACTGTTAAGTCGCGTCTGTATAGAGCGTTGCTCCGTCGTTTCAATTGCCATTGAGTGTGCGTCCTTCCGTGGATAAATTAGAGAAAGGACGAAATTCACGAGAAATGTCGGCCATAAAACGCCATGCTTGACCCTAAACCACGAATCCGCAATTAAAAGTTTACACACCCGAGGGCCTCGACCACCGTGGACGGATCGGGCGACTTCTTGAGCTTGTCGTTGGCCTGGAGGACGGCTGTTTCCGGGCAGAGGGTGACCGTCAGCCGTTCGTCCGTTCTAGCGTTCGATAAAACCCTCCGTAGCGCTTTCGAGGGATTATTGCAGGAGCTTATCGTCGCCGTGGTCCTCCTGGCGGCCACGCTGTGACTGCTGTCCCGCGGAAACAAGTTCGCGGCTCGATGGTACAACACTAACGCGGACTCGTAATCGCCGCTGGAAATTCCAATTAAACGGTTTGATGTTCGTGCACGGCGGAGCGACAGGCCTCTTAGTCGCGACGCGCGGCCTGAACTCGCGATTAATTACTACCAGAGTCCTGTTTAAGCGACTCGAACGCCATTACGGTGACGTCGTACTGGATGACGCCGCAAGAACCAATTAACCAACGCGTGTCCTTAATCCTGTCGCGCTTAAAGCGCTAAAACCATCGAATAATGCGCGAATAAATACGCGATGTGGCGTGAAAAATAAGGTACGAATCGGGTTGGTGAATGAAACCGGAATTAAGTCAGAATATTCGATCAGAGTCCACGGTTGTAGTTTCGCGACGAATATCGTCCTGTAATTTATTACCGTTCGAACCGGATTTCATTGGGCAAGCGTTTCGTGCCACAAACGATCGCATGACAAAGAAGCTAAATAACTTGCCCGGCCGTAATTCCGCTACCAGCATTACGCGATTCCGCGGTCTCGCTCTGGCTGGGGTTCAATCGGCCGAGAAGCGTTCGCGTTCGTTTATGGCGAGCAATTCATAGCGGCCAGGAAACACCCGCACCAATTGACAGCCCTTGTGAATGAAACGGTGACGTTAATGCTTTCGGACCGAAAGGACCGATAATCGCCAACGATAATTCGCGACTGCATTATTCGGACGAATTATCCCGGTTCTTTGGGAGGCTAACGATACATCGATACGGCTTCAAAATTGAAACGTGTTATTAACGTGAAATTCACCGTGCGTTTATGATTTACCTACAACGCGTCCACCTTTCAACGATCCTGAACGAAATTTCACTCTGTTAATCTTTACACGCCGGTGGAAAGTATAGGCTAATTGCAATTCAGAGTCTGTGTTTGCGATGTCCCTATAACGTGTACCATTCCTCTCCAACCCTGATGGAACTTTGTTTAATTACCCTTCGTGTATACTTTGAATGGAATCCAGAGTCTGTGTGTTTGTGATTTCCCCGTAATAATTCCTACAAAATTCGTTGGACGTGTAACCGTGGAAAGAGATGGGAAGAATTGAATTTCGAACCGAATGGTAATACAGAGATTAACATAATTTTGCGTCGGCTTTTCAGATTCGTGTTTCTTGAAATAATTGTACGGGACAGCGGGGGTTGCGTCGCGCGCTCGCGATAATTAACAATGCAAAAGTGATTAAGCGATACCGTAGGGTCTGTCGAATAACCGAGCGCGACGTTCCAAAAAGGAATAAATTAATTTCGCTGATTAAATCATCAAAACCGCCCAGGAACAATACAAACGAAACCGAACGGGCATTTGAAACGCAATTAAATTGTTACCGGCGCGATTTCAATAATTAGTATCAGCGATCGCGACAGAACCACGCTAACAATGTTTCCACGTATCGCGTCGATCTATTTTTCAGATCCTGGATCATCGACATGTATACAGGGTGTTCGGCCAACCATGGGAAACATTTTAATGGAGGACTCTAGAGGCCAAAATAATACCAATTTGTTCATGGGGGCTTCGTTAAAAAGTTATTAACATTAATAACTTTAATTATTAAATTAAAAAATTTCAAATCGTTCTGGAAAAATTATTTTCGGCTGCGGGGGTCGATTACAATCATTTTTGGTGAATAGAGATACCCTCGAAATCCTGCCCGCTTTCGAGGAAAAAAATCGAATAAGTGCTGAAACTTTTCGGCGAAAAAAAATTTTCCAAATCGTTTTAAAAAAATTATTTTCGGCTGCGGGGGTCAATTACAATCATTTTTGGTGAATAGAGATACCCTCGAAATCCTACCCGCTTTCGAGAAAAAAAATCGAGTAGGTGCTGAAACTTTTCGGCGAAAAAGAATTTTCCAAATCGTTTTAAAAAAATTATTTTCGATCGCGGGGGTCGATTACAATCATTTTTGGTGAATAGAGATACCCTAGAATTCCTACCCGCTTTCGAGAAAAAAAATCGAGTAGGTGCTGAAACTTTTCGGCGAAAAAAAATTTTCCAAATCGTTTTAAAAAAATTATTTTCGGCTGCGGGGGTCAATTACAATCATTTTTGGTGAATAGAGATACCCTCGAAATCCTACCCGCTTTCGAGAAAAAAAATCGAGTAGGTGCTGAAACTTTTCGGCGAAAAAGAATTTTCCAAATCGTTTTAAAAAAATTATTTTCGATCGCGGGGGTCGATTACAATCATTTTTGGTGAATAGAGATACCCTAGAATTCCTACCCGCTTTCGAGAAAAAAAATCGAGTAGGTGCTGAAACTTTTCGGCGAAAAAAAATTTTCCAAATCGTTTTAAAAAAATTATTTTCGGCTGCGGGGGTCGATTACAATCATGTTTGGTGAATAGAGATACCCTAGAATTCCTACCCGCTTTCGAGAAAAAAAATCGAGTAGGTGCTGAAACTTTTCGGTGAAAAAAAATTTTCCAAATCGTTTTAAAAAAATTATTTTCGATCGCGGGGGTCGATTACAATCATTTTTGGTGAATAGAGATACCCTAGAATTCCTACCCGCTTTCGAGAAAAAAAATCGAGTAGGTGCTGAAACTTTTCGGCGAAAAAGAATTTTCCAAATCGTTTTAAAAAAATTATTTTCGATCGCGGGGGTCGATTACAATCATTTTTGGTGAATAGAGATACCCCCGAAATCCTGCGCATTTTCGAGAAAAAAATTCAGTACGGGCGGAACTTTAATCGTTAATAACTTTTTAACAAAGCCTCCATCAACAAATTGGTATTCTTAATTTTCGCCTTATTTTGGCCCCTAGAGTCCTTCATTAAAATTTTTCCCAGGTTTGGCAGCTTTTAAAGACGATTTCCTGTTAAAAATATCTACGAGTTTTCCATTATAATTCCGAAACCTCGAAAATCTTAACCGTGCATTTAGCTGGCGTACAAATAAATATTCCGGAGCCTCCTGAAAGGCGGAAATCTGAAACCGATTTCGTCGCGACGGGATCGTTATCCCCGCGAATTAATAATGCATAAATTCGGTCGCTGGAAGTCGGAAACGGAAACGGAAACGGAAACGGCGGAATCTCGAATTCTGTTTGCCGTCCGAGTCGCTTTGGCAACCGATAACCTTGTCGACGACTCTGTCGTGGCCCCTTCGGCCGCGGAAAAGTTTCGGAATATGGTAATGTCTCGCCTGTGATGGAGTCGATCGGCCTCCCGGTGAAGAGCCTGCGCGAGCTCCCGACGACACGACTTCGCCTCGCTGTTACGCTCCTGGCGAGCCCGATTCTCCGCATTTTCCACCGTTTTCCGCGTCTCGTTCAGGTCCACCAGCTCGCCCTTCAGGACTCTGCCAGCGAGCACCGCCATCGATCTTCAAACTAGAACGCTTCCGCTTGAAATCTGCCACAGGAATATCTCAAACCACTGTTTTCTTTTTTTTATTCTGCGCCTGTAACCTCGTGGGTTTTCTTTTATTCGTTCATACGGGTTTACGTGCTTCGACATTGCGAGAAACTAATTTTTACGAAAAACAGACAGGGGGTAGGTGCCTAAACTTTTCGGTGGAAAAAAAAAATTTTAAATCTTTATGAAAAAATTATTTTCGCTTTTGGGGGGTAATTACAATCATTTTTAGTGAACAGACATACCCACGAATTCCTACGCGTTTTTGAGAAAAAAATTCGAGCAGGTGGACAAATTCTTCGATAAACTTAAAAAATATCAAATCGTTATAAAAAAATTATTTTTGGCTACAGCGGTCAATTATAATCATTTTTGGTGAATAGACATACCCCCGAATTCCTACACACTTTCGAGAAAAAAATTCGAGTGGGTGGTGAAATTTTTTGCCGAAATCAAAGAATTTCAAATCGTTCTAAAAAAATTATTTTTAGTTGCAGGGGTCAGTTACGATCATTTTTGGTGGATATACATACCCCCAAAATCCTACGCATTTTCGAGAGAAAAATTCTTTACCGAAAACATAATGTGTGACCATAAATGTTTCCTCAAAAATTCACGTTTATGTTTAAAAAATCATTACTCCTGAACGGATTGGAGGATTTTAATGTTTCAAAATGCAAACAACGTGTATTTTGCTAATTATAATTTATATGTTTTAGGAATATTGGGTACCAGGATCCATAGTCACCTGAGGAGGAAGAATAATCGTGTCAGGGAGGCAAGTATTTTAATTCTTACGTTGTATCAAAGATCGTACAATTTACAACAACACGGTAACGTCGTTAACAATCGTTGTAAGCTTAAATCTAAAAGCCTGTCACGAGACCATAAGAGACTTGGATTAGATAATTATGTTTCGAAGACACAAGGTAACTTTACTCGATACATTAACGAAGCCCTGCCTAAGGGAGGAATACACAGAGCAGAGGAAAGAAATCGGAAACTTTTTATCGCCCGATGTCCGTCGGAAGATGGCCGAAAAAACCGCCCCCCCGATAGGTTCTCCAGTTAATTATAAAGTATCCGAAGATCCATCCAGCCGCGGGGGTGCGCAAGAACTTTTCCAATAGAGGGAATCTGATGTTCTTCTCAACTTCTTGGACGTACTCGACGATGCAGGGGAGCCTATACTTTCGATTTAACGCCGACGAAGTCACCACGATTCTCAAGATTGGAGTCCTACGCCAATGTCGTCGATCCTCGCCAACGGACGGTGAAAACTTCCAGCGCAACAAAACATCGTTGGATCCCCAACAGACTCTGCAATTGATTTTCCAAGGAGCTACAAAAATATTATCGATCCTCGTAGATTATTCTCCAGGTGGAGCTCACCCTTCCATCGAAGCAGAGCATAAAAAAATTACCGTCTCGCGTTCAGTCGAGCGCGTCGAAGTCCACGAAGCCTGGCCTCTCCATGGAAGAATCGTAGTGCTTCAGCAGAGCCTTCCTGGCCTCCACTTCCGGGTCCTTCCGTGGACTCGGGAGAATGGTCATCCTCTTGCAAGGCAGCTTGAATTTCTTGTCGACCGGTTTGCAGCCAGGCATCACGGACATCCTCCTCCTGGCTGGCACCGCGTCCATGCTCCTCCAAAGGAAGTCCACCTTGGTCTTCGTGTCCTTCGGCATCAGATCGAGGATCAGCTGCTGTCTCTCGGCGATTGCGTCGAACACCAGCATCTTCTCTATGTCCATCTCGTCGATTATGTCCACGATCCGCGTGTAGAAGTCCACCAGGAAGTCCAGGCCGAGTTTCTTGGAGCTGGTGAGAGCCAACAGGGCCGACTCCTTCGCCTCGTTGCGATAGTTCTGGTTGATCTCGATCCTCATGAAGAGATGATGGGCGTTCAGGATCCACTGCTCGCTGCCCGCCTGCTCGCCCATGTCGCTGGCCTTTTTCCCGTAGAATCTGGCCAGGTCGTAGCGCCTAATGTCGATCAGGTGCTTGCAGAGCTCGTGGAAGAGCCAGGCGAGCTCCAGGGGCTCCGACGCCATTGCTAAACGCCTGACGTTGGTGACGATCGATTTTATTTACGCTCTCCGCGAGCTTTCGGGTCATATTTTGTCGTAGTTCCCAGACTTCCTGGGGAGAGACTACGGCCGTGGGAGCCGAGGCTCGCTTACGACTGCAATTTAGTTTGATCAGGGCAGCCTCGGGCCACCCGGACGGAGGAAATCGATTTTGATTTTAACCGCGCGTCAGTTTCAGACCGGAACAAGTGCTCGCGGCGGAAGATACTTCGCGGGACTGTTCCGCGAACGCGGACAGCGACAAACAAACTGGATAAAACGTAATGCTTGAATTATGGCGTCCGAAACTCCCGACCCAATTCCACGGCTTTGTTTCGCATAAATTTACCGCGGACGGGCTTTGCACAACATAAATTATCCGGGCTCTCTGTGCTTTTTCCGCGTTGCTGCTGAAACGGCTGTGACTCGAGTCCGTAAGTAGCTTTGGCGAAACGAGGTGAACGTTATTGCAAACGATACCTTCGAAAAACCCTGAGCGTGTCTTTTCCTTGGTTCAAGCGCACCCAGGCGATGTCCGTGTCGCGTGGCAATTCGGCCACGCGTATACCCATGTGGTGTTTCAAATACGTCGTCTTCTGCTCCCTGGTCCGCAGATGAGTCAGATCGCGGACGTCGATGTACGCCCACGCCACCATGTTGTACACCGCGTCCAGACACTTCTGCCGCAGCGGGAACATCTTAAGGGAGTACGAGTCGAACTTGTCCTTGACATGGTCCACCATTCTGGAAACGCCTCGGGAGTTTTTCTTTTGGAATCGATCGGAGGAACTGCAAAGCGAAACCCACCTGAAGAACGTGATGTAATCCTTGCTCGTCCTCACGTCGTGCAGACGACGCAATATGAAGTCCGCTTCGATGACGATGAGGTTTCTGCGCATTTGCTTCTCGGCCTCGATCATCGCTCGATGGCCCTCCGGTATGGCCATTCGTTCGAAGAGAGTCACGTAAAGGGGTCGTCTCATTCGGAGGATGTTCTGTCTGCGTATGGCCCTCCTGTAGTTCTTCGCCGCCAGTACATGCAGCTCCTCGGTGGTCGCCCTGTTCGGGGACTCCAGGATCTCCGGCCGTTCCGTGAGCGTTTCCAGAAAGTCCTTGTCGTTGGCCAGGTAGCCCAGGTATATCTTCGCTATGAGGCGCTGGAACCTTTTGAACTCTGTCTCGGCTTTCATTTCAGGGTCGTTCACTTTGAACTTGGACTGCTCCTGCTCTATGCCTGGTAAATTGATTCTCTTTGATGAGATTTGCAAAAACAAAAAAGGAAGCGAGAAAGATCGTGGACCCGTCGCGGGTCGAGCGCTTGCGAGATAGACAAGAGCTCGCGTGGCCCTCTGACGGCGAGCGCGGCAAGTGGCGCCGCGAATGGACGAAGACGGGTCACCGGGACGCTCGACTAATTTCCAACCGTCGACTTAACTTTCTGATTTAGTGACTTTAATTCCCCCGTAAACACGGTCCCGCGGAAAATCAAGTTAGCGCGGACTTGTTCCGTCGCTGGAACTTTCCGCGGACTAATTGGACTGTAACTCGACGTCCCGGTTACGAAAATTACTTCCCGCCACCGGATGGGAGAGGAGAAAAAAAAAAAGGCTCGTTACAACTTAATACCGTTCGTTGAACAGTTTAACTTGCCGGTGCAGCGGATTGCAATCCCGTTACGTTGCTCCCCCGGGGGGCATTGTGCGTACAGGACGATAATAAATATTATCCAGCCCCGTATTCTCTTTTTCCGAAACGCTGGAGACCGTCGCTCGCGAGCACAACGAACGGTGTAATAGGATTTCGCGCTTCCGGTTTTGAAGAGGCGCGCGGAGAACGATTCGACGGGGCTTTTGTTGTCGGAATTAATTATAGCGTGCGAAGGGACGAGTAACGTATTCAAGTTTTGGAAAATTCGTTTGGTCGAACTGATTTCGTTCCCTTGCCTTCGAGTTCGTCCACCTCCTCTTCGAGCTTCTCGAACATCAGTTTCCGGTGTTCCTCGAGGTGTTTTATCCAGGGCGAGAGAAGCAGAAGGGCTTTGGGCGAGGTGTTCCTACCGACGCAGTCGTGGATGGTCTCGTTGCCTTGGATTATTCCATGCTGCAGGGCGACAGTTCGACGTTTCTGGAAGCCCATGTGGGCGTGAACCAAACTATACTCGAACTCTCCGACTTGGAAAAGGGTCTGCAGCTGCTTCTGCTTCACTTTCGAGTAGGTTGCGTCTGAAAATCGATAGCGCTCCCTTGAAATAAACTTTTACCTTTAAATAAACATAGCTGGTTACGATTGGGGAAGATATAGTCACGGATGAAATCATTAACGAGCCTCCGTCCAATAAAATATTAAAGTTCAACAAGTCCGTGGGAGAAAGAATCAAGTTTTAACGAGCATAGAAAACAAAGTTTGTTCGGGATAAAATTTTTAATTAATTAATTATAGCTAGTTTGCAGGAAATCATTGTCGTGCGTGCAAAGTAAGTATAATCTCAAGGAAAAGCAAGCTAAGTAATTGCATCGAAGCACCGTGAAAACTCGCCCCGGGGCCGGCGCGGTCCCCTTTAAAGTTGCTTCGTCGCATAAATTATTTTAAACTGCTCCCCGCTCCACGACACCGTTAGAACAAATCCGACGCCGTCCGCTTCCTGGGTTACAGCGGAAGTAGGAAATTTGCCCCGCCGGACTTTCGCGAATTGCACGTTATCTCACGCTGCCTAAGTACTCTTTAAGTCCTGACATACAGGGACCGCTTTCGGTCCTTATTCTTCGCGCTCCGCGAACGAAACTTTCGCTCCGCGTTAGCTTACAAAATATTGCGCAATCCCTTGGACCTTATCCTGCAAAATGCATATTTTAAGAGGAAATTACGACCTCGAGAACCGTGGGGAAAAATTCGAACTCGCAAGGTGGACTGCGGGAAATGTTGTCCGAGCGCTATTGGATCGAGCGAACGTTATAGTCGATGACTCACGAATTAAACTTTTAATTTTATGCAGGAGTAAAAAATATTAGGCGATTCTGTGAACCTTCCCCTTTAAAACGAGCGCTTGGAAAAGGAAAACCGACTTCAGGAACGTTAGAAAAAAAATAAAACGTGTAAGCTGTCCTGTAAGAAATGTAGTCCAAGCACTACTGTTTTATAGTTAGTGACTCATGAATGAATCTTGAATTTTATGCCGGAGTAAAAAATATTAGGCGATTCTGTGAACCTTCCCCTTTAAAACGAGCGCTTGGAAAAGGAAAACCGACTTCAGGAACGCTAGAAAAAAAATAAAACGTGGAAGCTGTCCTGTAAGAAATGTAGTTCAAGGCACTACTATTTTATAGTTAGCGACTCATGAATGAAACTTTAATTTTATGCTGAAGTAAAAAATATTATGCGATTCCTTGGACTTTCCCCTACAAAATGGCTGTCTTCGAAAGGTGAATCGACTTCAGGAACGTTGGAGAAAAAATGGAATCTTGTGGATTGCACAAGTTTCCTTGGAACAAAGCTTGAAATAAAATATTTCAACGGAGTGAATAATGTCGTTCTAACCTATAGATATGCATTTCTCGATGGTCTTGATCGCCCTGGCGTACCTCGCGTAATTGAGCTGGGTTTTACCGAGGCCTAGGTAGGTCCTCAGATCGTCGTGAGGGCATTGCTGGATCGCTTTCTCGAAATAGTGCTCCGCGACGGGGTAGTTCTCCTGGGTGGCTAACTTGCGGGCCCATTCCCGATAAACGATCCAGTCCCTGAAGAATTCTGGAGCCTCCTTCTGCTTCAGCATCGCCATCGTGGCGAGTGTTGCCCAGGGGAGGCGGAATTATTCGGAAAATTTGACCCCTCGGTCGATCTCCGCGAATTTCGAGTCGGCTAACCTATCCGAGTGAACGATATATATAATTCACGAGACTGAAAGCCACCGTCGTGGAGATCAAAGGCTCCCCTTCACTCATGAATTTTGCACCGCGGTCTCGGGACGGGATCGTTTCGCGCTCACATCTTTGCGAAACCCCACCTTTTTCTTTTTTTTTTTACGTTTTCGGACGAAGATAACCGGGACCAGCGGTTTATCGAATCGTGACAGCCGATTTCTCGATTCGAACCTCACGCCTTGTAACTACATTCGCGAAACAGAGTTGGTTTATCGGTGGTCTGAGAAGTATCTACGCAAAGTTGGTCAATTTTGGGAAACGTGTATTATATTTATTAATAATACGACTCGTAAAATAAGATACGATTGATTGCAATTGATTTCAGCGATGCGTTTAATAGTCGTTGATTCTTGGAACCGGTTCTGGGAGTACATTTTGAGATTCGCGTGCTCTCCCGTCTGGAGTTCCTTTGAGCGCACGTCGAGACCTATCGTAATCCGCTTTCGACTGTAAAATACTGCACAGTACATGTAAAGCTCTCTGTGGCATTAATTGTCACGTACAGCGAGGGATTACATCGAAACTACCGAAGTGGATTCGTGGCTGGTACTTTGTCCTTTTCCGCCGCGGTGACGGAGGGTCCTGTCGTTTTCGAAACTTTTTCCCGAAACGTTCGAACCGGACCTACCGATTCTGCATCGCCGAAGATGTCATAAGAGATATAATCCAAGCACTCCTTCGTTAAAGCTAACATTATAGTTGGTGACTCACGAATGAAACTTGAATTTTATGCCGGAGTAAAAAATATTAGGCGCTTCTGTGAACCTTTCCCTTTAGAACGAGCGCTTGAAAAAGGAAAACCGACTTCAGGAACGTTAGAAAAAAAATAAAACGTGTAAGCTGCCCCGTAAGAAATGTAGTCCAAGCACTACTACTTTATAGTTGGCGACTTATGAATGAAACTTGAATTTTATGCCAGAGTAAAAAATATTAGGCAATTCTGTGAACTTTCCCCTTTAAAACGAGCGCTTGAAAAAGGAAAACCGACTTCAGGAACGTTAGGAAAAAAATAAAACGTGTAAGCTGCCCCGTAAGAAATGTAGTCCAAGCACTACTACTTTATAGTTGGCGATTTATGAATGAAACTTGAATTTTATGCCAGAGTAAAAAATATTAGGCGCTTCTGTGAACCTTTCCCTTTAAAACGAGCGCTTGAAAAAGGAAAACCGACTTGAGAAACGGTCTGAAAAAATTCGGACACATAAATCGAATTCTGAGAAATATCGTCCAAGAGAGCATATCATTGTTTTTAATCAGTGGGACTAATTTACAGTTATGGTTTTCTGTTACAGGGTCGGGGGATCGCGGACACATCGATTTAGCTGTGCCCTCGAGATGCTGTGATGGCTCTGCTCTACAGATTCGTGCGGGTGCCTGACAGCAGTTGCACGCGGGTCTTCTCGTTCGTCGTGACCAGGAGCGTGGTACGCGACCCCGAAAGAGACGTTACCAGCAAGGAGCTCGTCTGCGGCTTCCAACGATGGTCCGTCGCGTTTTCGCAAGGAAACAAGGTGATCGAAACGGTCCCCGAACCCCTGGAAACTTTATTTCTCGTTCTTCTTAGCCTTCGATAAAACCAAACGTCCAAAGATGAAAGATACTGTCTGTGTTGAAAGGTGCTGGGCGCGTACTTGGTATGGCGGAGCGCGTCGAGGAATCTGCGGGTCTACGTGGACTTCACGTTCACCCTGCTGAACAGGGAACACTTTTCGAGGAACGAAAGGTTCTCGGGGAAACGTGTAAAGTTCACCTACGAGGCGCCGGCCCAAGGGAACCGAAACTACATCCCGGTGTCGGACCTCTACTATCGAAACTTCACCGACACGAACGACGAGTTTCAGCTGGAACTGGCGATGTCGAACGTGAGGACCGTCTTCATGACGGAGCTTAAGATGCCGAGCAGCACGTTCCCCACCGGGCAGTCCAAGCCCAACAAGCTGGAGACGGATTACTTCACGTTTTGCGGGTTCGACTGGAACCTGGTGATCTATCCGTACGGGAGCAAGGAGTGGAAGGGGTACCGGGGACACGACAGCGGCATCAGCGTCTACCTGATGAGGCTGACGGGGTTCGACCATCGGTGCAGCGTGAAATACATCGTGGTGCTGGGCGAGGGCGAGCGTAGGATCCATGCGGGCCCGATGGATGACATCTCGGACGCGGAGGGACGCTGCTCCGGTTGGCACACTCACGTCAGGTGGTCGGAGGTCGCGCACAAAGGGGTGGTTCGGCTGTCTTTTGAGATGGTAGAGGCGAGAATTATCTGCGAGGTGGCGGTCCAAGCCCGTGGTCCGGCCGTCCTGGCCGCCACGCCTTGCTACGATCGTGACAAACAGGCCTGGACCATTCGCGCCGACCTCCACTCGGACACCGTCAGGCTTCACTTGGTCTACAAGGATATCCACAACGTCCCACGGAATCATTTGAGGTTCGTTGCTTAGGATTAAACCCCGCGGTGACGCTTCCCGCGCTCGCTGCCAGAGGGCTACGCTCTTGTCACTCTCGCAAGTACTCGATCGAACCCTTCGTTCCTATATGCACACTCCTTTCCTTCTCTTTCTGTTAGTTGTTTAGATAAAGGGTTAACGAATGTAATAATTGGACCAGGTACGTGAGCTGGTCGGCGTACCTGCTCAAAGAGGAGGAGTCGGGCACCACGGTGATCGGTTTGCCGGGCGCCCCGTTCAGCCGGTACTACGCCCAGGAATCGACGGACGAGGGCATCATAATGGAGACGGAGCTGGACACGAACGAGATAAAGAACAACCAGTGCCCGTACCTGACGGACAAAGGTCAGCTGAGGGTCCGGCTGGAGTGGAACGAGAGCCACCTGCTGTTCCAAGCCACCTATCACAAGTACGACGACGTGTGCCGTATACACAATCAGCAAATGAGACGCGAGATAGCCACGCTCCAGGGTGAGAACAACACCCTGGAGAGGCAGCTGTTCAGCTACCAGAAGAGCCTGGCGTACGCCCAAGCGCAGCAACAGCAACAGCAACAGCAACAGCAGAACGAGAACCAGCAGCTTCACGGTGGCCATCAGGCGCACCTGGAGAGGTCCGCGTCCACGGACACCGAATATGCCTGACAAGTGGAACAGATGAACGAGTCGCCGGCCGCCGGTTCCAGACGGCAATTGCCAATCTTGCAGGAGAACGATCACCGCGTCCACCAGAACCTGGTGAGGATGATGGACCGACGGCTGAGCAACGTTCAGCTACAGCAACACCTGTACGAGACGGAGCCGCAGCAAAGGTTCGGCGACGGTTCGCCCAGGCAGAGCTTGGATGATCATTCCCAGCAACAGGAGCACCGTCGGAGTATCGTGCAGCAACCGAAGTCGGCCAGGTCCAGCGTCGGGAGGTCGGACAGCGCCTCGGAACGCGGAAACGACCGTTACGCCGGCTATTATTTGGGGTACGTCGGTCAGGCAGCGCACAAAAGACGTAGGACCACTTTCTGGGAGACCCTGACGGGTCTCGTGTGCTCATTGGGCGCTTTGGCTTCCAGGGCTGCCAAGATGGCCACCAGACGGGGAGAGCCTCTTTGAAGGAGCGCAATCGCGGACCAGTGGACTGGTACGATACGGGATTCGAACCGGGTACCGGATAACAGTGACGTATTTTTGTGATGTGGAGAGAGAGAGAGAGTTTCGAACGTTGAGTCGGCGAAGAAAACCACCGTCGACTCGTTTGTGTTCTCGCGGACCCAGGGGCCCGCCCTCCGACGCCCTGGCTCGAGACGGTTTGATCGACGGAGTACCCGGAAGACGCACGCGACCACGTTACGATAAGGTTCCACGCGAACAGAGTCTGGGAGTAGAAAGGGCACAACGCTCCTTCCGCGAACGCTAGCACAAGCTCGCGATCAGATTACGGACGATCTCGACAATACACCGGAGGAACGCCGGACAACAAGATGGCGCGAGGGGAACGATGATGGATCGCACAGTCTCGGAAGGTTTCGCGCACGGAGACGGTCGATCGATTACATTCGTACGCTTTTATTTTTGAGGTTTGTTTTTTCTTTTTTTGGGAGGGGGAGGGTGTTTTTTTTTGTCGACGGAGTCCGAGAAACCGAGACCAAGGATGAAGAGGCTCGCGATGTATCTTGTCCAGTTCCGAAGACAGCTCCGAAGCAAGAAACTCTGCCCGTCGCGAATGGAGGAACCAAAAGACGGCTTTGACGTTATTAATAATCGATTTGAACACCGGTCGAGCGACGTACCAACACAGAGAGATACATACCGTACACACACACACACACACGCACACGTACACGGTAGGAACCAAGATGGGGAATCGACGGGAACCCGAACAGCCTCGTTCGCCCCCTCGATTACGATTCTACACACGTATGTACACCGACACGATTCTATCTACTTGTCAATTTACTAAAAAAAAAAAAAGAAGAAAAACAAAACAAACAAAAAACCTATTTTCCTCTAAAGACTTTTTTCACCTATCGTCTGCGACTTCTTTGATAATAAAGGATCCGTGCGGCGTAGTCGCCACCAAACTCGTAACAACGTTAATTATCGTAGCACGTACACACCTAAAACGAAAATATATAAAGAAAACAAGAAAAAAAAGAAAAAGAAAAAAAATATGAAAAACAGAGTTTAGAGTGCAGTCGATGTTACATAAACCGAAAGTAGGGGAACCGGGATCGTTGCTAGACCGCACCGGATGTCGGATGTGCGCAGGCGTCGATGTTCGGCACCGACCATTGCCATCCAAGATGGCGGCCAAAAAGACCAGGGTAAATACAATGCGAACGATCAGCGGTTCGATCGTCGAACCCCGTTTTACTCGTTCCATCGAACGAAAGAAGTCGTTTCATGGTCAACTTACACTTTCTTACACGATATATTTTGTTTTAGAGATTAATGGTGCACGGTGAGGCAGTATCTGTTTGTTAAGCGAAACGAGACAGATCGGACATGTGAGTTTAATTTTTATCGTACCACTGTGTGGAACTTATGTTTAAATGTTTCAAGCACGGTTCCCAGACGATAATTTACGACTGTATCAGAGGGTATATTTGTACCACAGAGTATATACGTGCCGGGTCTCGGACGATATTGCGCTAGAACCTTTGGGTCGCGCGTTTGTCACCTAATTTCCTGCTCGTCCCGTCCCGTCGAGCATTCCGGGATCGACGTTTCGATGTTAACTTTAGTCTCGCTATCCGATTACCGAACGGACAGCCCGTCGATATTCTTTTTTTTGCCCCCCCTCTTCGATTCGTTCGTCCGACGGAAGCGCGCCAATTAACACTTCATTTCGTCGGAACGAGGCAAGGACGCGACCCACGAAACGGTCGAACGAAACGAAGACACGAACGTTCAAAGAATATCGATGGGTATCGAGATCGTGTACCAGGAATCGATTTAGGGGATCGATCGTTTGTAAAATCGATCCCGTAGTCGAGCATCCGTTGCGTAATCGAAGCTGCGAGCGATACGTGCACGTCGATGCTCCACGTCCGCCGCATCGTTAGCCAACGATCGATAAGGCGTCAGTCCACACCGCGTACGCGTTTAATAGACCACCATGAATCGTCGTGTGCCAGCGCACGTGTGCCCGCAGGTGATTCACCCGCACCTGTGCACACGAAACCCATCTGATCCGGCGACAGCGCATTTAAAAGCACTGGCGAAAAAGCCAACGACCGTCCACGGAAGCCTCCTCCGCCATCCGCCATCTTGGCCCATTAATCGTCGTTTGCAACGCCTCTAATTTCCCCCCCATTCGTATCCCAACTTGCTCCCCTTCTTTTCTTTTTATTAAAATATTAAAACGCTCGATAGGACATTATCAAACAATCGGGTCCACGGGGTATTAACAATTTATTTGCTTTTTCGAGTGGATTCGTTTCACGTGGAAATTCCGTTGGCCATGAGTATACTTTCACCGTCGCCCTTCTATTTACAAGTTCAGAGTTTCCAATTTAATTTTCGCTCGGTTTCGAAATATCCGCCGGATTTGTCACCCGATAAGTTTACTATCGGAAGTTAATCGTTCCTCGGATAAGGCTCGTCGGTTGCTTTCCGTCGGTGCTTTTAAATCCGCCGGCTCGCCATATCGCGGAACACGATACGATCGCATGAAAGTTGTATCCCTCCTCTGAAGTAGCAGAGTCTGTATACTTTGAATATAACTGTACTTAAAACTGTTGAAGATTTATGAAAGAAGATATTACGAGAGTTGTGCCTATATATATATATATATGTATATGTATGTGCAAAGATTAGAAGGATTATCAACGAGGATCGTACCGATCGAGGTCCCTCTCGATGACTCGAACCGATCGAACGGGTCGCCATTTTCCTAAGTTTGCTGGTTGTTCGAAGACCCGGGGTAATTACAATTTCTGATAAGCAAACCGCTATCTACCGCGCGTAACTTCATCCATAATTCCGGGCTTAATATGCTCGTCGACTTATTACCGCGGCGATATTCTAATCGCGAAAGGTAAAAAAAAAAAGATGAAAATTTACAAGTCGTCACGTTCCCGCTAACGACATTCTTAAACAGCGGCCCAGTAGGTCGAGCATTACGATAAGAAGCACGTGAGCAAACATAACCTGTACCGCGCGATAAAACTGACAAATAATCGCCCGGGAAAATTCTCCGGCCGGAGTCGCCGGGAAATTTATTCGATTCCCGGGATAGCGGGAACGAAGACACGACGAGGTCTTATTTCCATTTTAATATGGCGGCCCGCCGCGCTCATATCGCCGGCAAGATTACGTTCCCCCCACCTCCCCCTCCGATTCCCTGTTGACAAAGGGCCGCGGAGCAACGTTCGTTCGAGTCGTGGCCCCCGGAATCCAGAGATGAAGATAAAGAAACGAACGAAAAATGGTGAAATCGATCGTACGATCCTCGACGGATGTTCCTACGCCAATGGTGTAGCGGATATACGAGTTTCCGTGATGCAACGGCTGCCTCGCCGGTACTCGATCGCCATCAAATTCGAAAGCTTCGAACGTCACAGTCCTTCAGTCCCCTTTCGCGTCCTGTAAAATTCTAAAACGGTTTAAGTTTCTATCCACGAGCTTGTATAAATTTCTACAAACGATTTCAACGTACCGTGAACCGTCCCGATCGCGAACGAACCGTAGAGAATGGTGTAACCGATCGACTATCGCGGCGAGGCGAGCCTGACAGGGTCGGAAAGCTGGTCTCTCCTCGATTAAAACATTTCTTATCCTATATGCGGTCATGTATACGTCGATGCGTCCACCGAAGACTAAAGTCGTGTCCACGCCGATGGCGTTGGCCCGAGATCGATCGATCGACGACGAAGAACCGATTGTATCTAATGTCATTATATCGTTGTGTAATTTGTCAGATTTTATCGATCGTGCTCGCGAACGAAGCGAACTGTAAATGAGCGTACCGTGTCGAGAGCTCGATTTTATCGCCACTGGCACCCTCCGCTTCGAGAGGCCGACGGGTAAACTGTCGCCCGGAAGTCTCCTCGTAACCCTTTTTGTCAGTCTATACTAAACTGTTTCACGGTTCTCAAACCAGAATTTTCTATCGAAACGCTCGCGACAGGCGTGACAGCAGCTCTGACAATCGCACCTAATCCGATCGGGGTGAACAACACCTTAACGTCTGTCAGCGCGATACCTCCCCCGCGATTCCGCTTCCGGATTCGATCCGTTCGATGTCGCGCGACACCTGGAAGGTGCCGATCCTAGGGGTCCTGGGGACGCGAAATAAAAATTCCTCGGGTTCCAAAGAAGGTTTCTTCGGTACCGATGGAAGCGGCAAAGGTCTAAATATCGCAGCTTCCATCGAACGCGCCCGGGGACGTGTTTGGACGCCTTCGTGGCACTCGAAGCGCCCAATAACCCGAATTTCCAAGTATAATTCAACGGTCCAAGGGGCCACTCGAGCTTCGAGGGAAAAGCAGAGCAGGACCCCGGCGATAAATTCATAAACCACTCGACGATCTTATCTTCCACGTGTTGTCGGCGTTAACGAGGTCGTAGATTCAAGATCCCCGTGCTCGCGATTCGGTTCGGCACTTCAGTCAATTAAATTCACTCTCACGAGGGCCGGAGCGCGGGCATCGTCGTCGAGGAACGCGGATACACGAACCAGCTACGGTCAAAGTTCGCCGGTTTATTTAAAATTTCCGTCGGGCCCCGGGCCCCGGGCTTCTTGGCCACCCTGTACATACGCCAAACGTAGGGTACTTATCTCTTAATATCTGTGTATTCTTGCTGAATCACGATCACACTCTGCTCTCTGTTTGGCAACGAGAATCGTTCCGTGATCCCGGTTCGCTTGCGTCACTCCGATCGAGACGTCAATTGACCTTGTGGTGAAAATTGATCACCGATAGGAGAACGCTGACGAGAGTCCGGGATCGATGGGGACAGATTCGAAAGCGCCCGGTGGCCCGTAGCTTTCGAGAACTTTTGTTGCCGTTCGTATTGAATTATTCATCGCGTGTCGATGTCGGTTCCTCCGGACTTTCGGAGTCGAAAGTCTCGGCTGCCATATAAAATACCCATTAGCCTAGCTTGGGGATCATCCACGGATAGATACAGACGTTTAAAACTTTCTCGCGACGAGACTGGTCCCGAGAATGGAAATTTACGCTTGGAAAAGTACTTGGAGTATTTATTCGCGATCGAAGAAACGGTAGTCGTTTTTGTTTAAACACGGGGAAAGACGGTAGTCGGTCGAGGAGTTGTATTATATGTATAGGAACGGAGGGGATCGGTCGAGCGCTTGCGAGAGAACGACACCCCTCTGGTGGCGAGTACGGGAGATGACGCCACACTACCAAAACTCCATTACGGTCAAACTTACTGTAACTTTGGCAATTTTTCGAATTTCGACGATCGGTTTGTCGGTAGTGTCCGTGGCAAAGGGAAAAAAGAATCGATTTTTCAAAGTCCCAGACCGGACGAACGAGGACGCTGAGTGCTTTTGTTCGAGTTTCTAAGTATCGGGCGGTGGCCTCTCCAGCACCGATATTGCTATCCCCCACCCCGCCGTAGCATAATTAATTTTTGTCCATCGATATTCCGCGTCTGTAACTGTTTCCAGGAGGGCGAACGCTAATATCGTGCACGGGCTCCAGGTTATCGGTTTTTTTCCTAAAAACGATACGTGAAATATGGAGGACATATATTCATCGAAGCCCTACAGAATTCATATCGCAAAGTGGAAACATCGTTTGGGACCGACAAAAACGTCCTGACCTTTTCCTCGTTGCATTCTGCATACTCGGAATCTTTTGTGCCCGGCTTGAAAACAATATCGATTAATCAGAGATTTTATTACGGCTTATGAATTCCCGGTCACGAAGATAATCGTCCAAGGTTATCGGCGAAAAGATTTCCTTTGTTTTTTTGCTTCGTTTCGAATCGGTTTTTTTAATATTCCCGGTGGACCCGACGCGCGGCGAACGATGATAAACGATCGAGACGTCGCGATCGATCCATCCGGACGTTCGAGAAACGAACGTCGTGCGCGCTGACAGACGACGACACCATGAAACAATAAAGATTCACTAGTCATTTACGCGGCGATGGCCGCCCACGATAGTTCACGGAACGGTCGGCCGCGACGCGATTTACTACTCGAAATAATTTTTCTCGCAGTAATTTTATCGTATATTTTTCGTGTCCCTTTCGTCCAGGGAGACGTCACGTTGTTTCTTATCTTGGCCCGACTTCCTCTCTCGCGATGCCAAACAGTGTCAAATGGTCAAACGGCGGGTATCGCGCGTCATTTTATCGCCGAGTCTCGACACGTTTCGACGCTTTCGAACGCTGACGAATGACGGATTATCTGCATTTGCGCGCGATTATGCCAACGGCCAACGTGTTGTTGGAATTGAATAACGAGAGAACAACGTGTCGAGCACGATTACGTTCGTCGACGATAATGGCGCGACGTCCAGAGGCAGTCGAGCGTTTCCTTTTTCAGCTTCTAACCCTCGTGACGACTCTTTTTCGATTGATGTATGTTCGTACTTTTTACGCACGATGTAAACGCACCTCTACGCAAACAAACCCTTTTTTCATCCGTGTGATTTATTCAGAAATGCGAACGCAACCCGTCACACGTTTCTCAACAAGTTTTGAGGGTATATATAACTAATGTACTTAAACCATCTGTGAGTCTGCCTCGTCTTTTATAAAATTCTTGCTATATTCAAACCGACGGTGGTTCTTATTTCTTATTACCTGCCCCCCACCCCCTCTGCGTATAAGCAAACCGATACCTCGCGTGCTTTGCAGAGATCGTATGTTACCGAGAGTAACCAGGACTTAATCCCATTCCAGAAATCCCCGCCATTAGACTCTTAAGTCTCCGCCTGAGCAACGATATGAGTTTTTTTTTGGACGAAAGAGATAAAATTCATAATCACCACCCCAATCGGTGAGAATGGAGGTTATCTTACGATCACGCAAAGAATCTTTGCTGTAGCTTGTAGGTAAGTAAAGTTTACGAACGTATAGCAGTCATTGAATATTAAACATAGTACGTTATAAGAATCTCATTATCCTTTGAATAGTCAGAATAGCCCCACAACTAAAAAGTTATTAATTTATTTTTTTATATCGATTGTCGAAACGAGTTTGTCCCCCTATTGATTCAAATAATCGACCTTCCACCGTACGTCCGTAGATGTCAAGTAAAAGCAATTGGTCACGAATGAAATTAAATTAGTTCCACGTTGAAAAGTATTAAAACGAAATGGTCGCGGAGTAATAGACCTCGTTAAAATGATGTTTCGATGAATTTATATATACATATACATGTACATTGTATGCTAAGAATTGTATCGATAACCTTGACAAAATAAATCGATAACTATGAAGCGCACTCGCGCGATAGTTAATCATCGAAAACGACAGTCGTGCTACGACCGTTGATTGATTTGCGTGTCGATTACCGTGCCCGAGTTTTATAACGTTATTGCCAGGGTATTTCCTGGCAATTTGGTGCACGCAGTCGCGAACCTCGCAGTTCTACACGCGGATTCGTTAAACAGATCGAGTCCTGTCTCGTCACGGCCTGTGACTTTTCTCGGCGATAGGTTATGTTGTCCGCGTGGAGAAGAAAGAAAGCTATGTTGGAACGGTGTTAAACGGCTAAAAAAATCGCTTCTAGACTGAAAGACGAGCGTGAAGAAGCATTTACGTGAAAGAAGAAACATCGACGACCCGTTCCTTGTCGCGACACCGAAACAGTATTAAAAACGGTCGAGACTGCTGACCGCATCGAGGAGATTGTTTTTTTTTTCCTTTTCCTGCGACTGACACATGTTCTTAACTGGCGCGGTCGTTGCGTAAGACAGTTAGGAAATACCGAATATAGGAAAAGAAAGATTTTTCACGCGCCTGTGCTTGCCTATACAGTTACGTGTCTTCGAATAGAAAAAGCCTAAAATTTTTCGTACACAGAAACGAACAACGGCGAGAGAACGGGAACATATTTACGAAGGTCGACCGACCTACGTAGAATCACTATTGATGAATGACAAGAGGACGAAAATGTTAAGTCAACGATTAAGTAACAGAAGGTTAATAGTCGATCTGCTTGCACTGATGTTTGGCCTTGGTGCGTGGGTTGGTGTAAATGGTATCTACGTTCAACTGCCCCTTCTGGTAAATGTTTCTCCGGAAGGATGGAGTCTTCCAGCCCATATGGTTATGCTAGTACAATTTGCCAACTTGGGACCAATACTTTACACAATGTACATAAAGTAAGTATGTCGTAAACTATACCAGCTTGTGCTATATTTATTGATGTAGATAACGAACATCTGTAGTACAATTGTTAATATCTTTATAATCTGCAATTATGTAAGTATTTTCTATTTCAGATACAGTGCATGGGCGTGCGATAAATACATTACGTACGCGCTTCTAGCAGCAGCATCGTTGGCTACATTTATATTAGCTTTTTTATACCACGAAACTTCGATAGTATTCGGCAACGAGCACTCTACTGCTCTTTTGTCCCTGATGTTCATAACAGCCACGGTCGGATGTACAAGTTCGGTTCTATTCATGCCCTACATGAGGAACTATAGAGAAATTTATTTAGTGTCGTATCTTGTAGGAGAAGGGCTCAGCGGATTTGTGCCGAGCATAGTGGCATTGATCCAAGGGGTTGGTGGTAATCCGGAATGTTTGAATGTTACTCAGCCTGGATCGAGCGAAGTAGAATTAAAGCTTCACTATCCAGAGCCCAGATTTTCGTGTCAAACATTCTTTATTTTCATCGGTGTCTTATTGTTCCTGTCTTATTTGTCTTTCTTGGGATTGAACAATTTATCCATCGCTGTTGGAGAACTTGTGAAACATCCGGATAGTATGGAGGCATTGCCAACAGACACAAGAGCACCACCAAGTTACAAAACTAGCTCTGGTTGGACAATGTCTAAACAAGTGTATTCATATTTATTAGTTATGATGGCAATTGTTTGTTTCTTAGGTAATGGTACATTACCAAGTCTCCAATCGTATTCTTGTTTACCATATGGGAATGTTGCATATCATTTAACTGTTACTCTATCGTCGATGGCTGGTCCATTGGCAATGTGTTTAGGTTTTGTTATTAAAATGCCAAAAGTAAGTCTTCTCAGTGTGCTGCTCGGAGTCCTTATGGTGCTCTCTAGTTTCGTTTGCGTTTTAGCTGCTAGATCACCTACACCACCTTTACAAAACACCTGGATAGGCGAATTGTTAGTAGTTTTATCTTGGATACTAATTAGCGGTCTAATAGGGTTTATAAAATTATGCATCACGACGTTGTTTAGGCCCGATCCTGGCCGAGGTCTATATTATACTGGGGTTGCAACTCAAGTTGGGTCATTGATCGGAGCAATAGTCACATTCGTTTTAGTTAATCATGCAAAGCTGTTTCATTCTTACTCTCCGTGTTCATTGTCTACAAAACATTGACATTTTATACAGAATAGAAATAGCCCAATTACTAAAAAATATATGAAAATTTTAATACTATAACAATTAGTTGAAAGGGTAAAATATTAATATATTTCTTAGTTCCTGTCGGTAATGACTACTGTACAAAGAAAAGTTATGGGATTTAGGCTTGCACAGCCAAGACTGATCCCTGCTAGTGATTGACACAAATAGGAATCAATTTAGTTTTGATAAATTTATTTTCATTATAAAGCCGGATTATATATTGTAATTAAAGGTACACGTACATTACTAGTATTAAAATAACTTATACCGTGATAAATCAGGGAAAAAGATAACGCGAATCTATAAAAATCAAGTATAACATAAAAACATATATTTTGCTCGACTCAAGTAAGTTACGTATAATGCATTTTTACTTAAATTTTGTATACATATTTCAAAGAACTCGGACTTGACTTAGATAAATGAATGTACTTAAAGAGCAGCTTTATATATTGAGGCACAAAAATATTATACATTTCAGTCAATTGCATTTTCAAAACTCTGAATTGAAGGAGGGTGTAATTTTACCATGTCGTTCATTGTAGTACGTTTATCTATCTACAATAAACATGGAAAATGTCAGTGCCTATAAGTGCTATACAATCATCAGTTCCGTTGCAATTATGTAATGCTTTTTCAAATGCATGGATTCGTTTTAAGAACCAAAGTATTAAATCGTATTTCATACAGAATATAGCTGCCACTTAGTCAATTTAAGGATTTAGAAATTATCAACTTTGTACATTATCTGATAAATTTTATTATTCTGACTAAGCAAGAGTCTAAGATGTAGAAACCATATAATTTCAACGCGTCGGTTTCTTTAGCAGAGGTGTACTAAATACTGTAGAATCTCAACGAACAATCTTGTACTTTTATAAACCGTTGTATATAATAAACATAATATAAAGTGATGCTATTAATAGCAGAAACCTAACAAAAATATTAGGTGGGAATATAAATTGTAACAAGTTGTGTAAGTTTACGCAGTGCAAAAATATTTATTTAAATTTTGTGACGTGGATGGTCATGTGGGATGAGTCGCTCGTTCCAGACAATTTTTTGGGGATTCGATTACATTCAATTGGCCTTATAGTTGTGTAATCCAACACACGTAATAACGTATTTTGAGAGTAAAATCGGACGAATTACTTCTAGAGCTCGCGGTTCGCCTCACGGCCATCGAAGTGTTATAGTGTCGTAATCTTTTAACTTTTGTTATTGTTATTCAGCAATAAATCCAAATTGTGATTTTTCATTTAAAAAAAATGACAAAATGAGTAATGTTTCGCAAGATTTGAATAGATGCAAGAGAAAAGATAGAATCGCTCTACATCTTCTTATAACTGTATTTGGTATATCTACTTGGACCGGTATCAATGGAATATACGTACAAGTACCAGTACTTATCAATACCTCTCCGGAAGGCTGGACTTTGCCAGTTTATCTAGTATTAGTAATACAGGCTGCTAATATTGGACCTCTGCTTTATATGATTTTACAATACCTTCGATGCAAGATAAACGAATCTTGGTGGATATTGTGTTTGCTATTTTCAGGAACTTTTGCAATGGGACTTTTAACGTTTTTCTATTCGGAAAGAACTGTTATTAACGGGACAGAGTATAGCATGGTATTATTTATTTTAACATTTTTCAATGCCCTGGTAGGATGTTTCAGTTCCGTATTATTTATGCCATACCTTCGCAATTTTAACAAAAATTATTTGGTATCGTTTTTCATAGGTGAAGGATTAAGTGGTGTATTACCAAGTATAGTTGCTCTGATACAAGGAGTCGGAGACAATACAGAGTGCGCAACTGATAAAAATCATACAACAAATTCCTTTAAATTAGATTTGAAATTCTCTCCGAGCGATTATTTTCTTTTTATTTGTATTATTTTATTCTTATCTCTAACTGCATTCGTTATTTTGGAATATTCGTCGTTCGTGCGGAATGTAAAAAGTTTTAATAAGCCTGTCGATTGTATAGCTAAAGTAGATTGTACAGATGATGTAGAAAATGTGAAACATTCTTCGTTAAAACGAAATAGCAAAGACTTAACAAAACAAATGCGATATTATCTGTTTATGTTACTTGCTCTCTGTTGCTTTTTTAGTAATGGTTTCTTTCCCAGCATACAATCTTACTCTTGCTTACCATATGGAAACATAGCGTTCAAACTATCGGTTACATTTGCTCAATTTGCAAATCCATTTGTATGTTTATTAGCATACCGGTACATAATATCAAACATAAAATTTGTCAATTATTTAACTGTAGTATGTTTGTCAATTGGAAGTTACGTCACGTATTTAGCATTAATGTCTCCTACTCCACCACTGCAAGACACCAAGCTTGGTGTTTTTTTAGTTGTCATGTCGTGGACAAGCCTGATAGGATTTATTTCTTATTTGAAATTATCCATTGTGTCGATATTTAGAAGTACAATGCTTCCCAAGATACTCTTTAATGTGGGTGCTGTTATGCAAATAGGTTCTGCAAGTGGTGCAATATTTTCATTCGTAGTTATTAACTTTACAAGCTATTTTAATGTCTATGATAGTTGTGCTTGAAAAAAATGATCAATATTGTAAATACGACATCTTTGCGCGCTTATAAACGTTCAAACGTGAAGCCAAGAATACGTGTACTTTTATATTGTCTTTGGTACGAGAACTGATGATTGATATAATGCTCCGAATGAATCCCGCGTTTGATTCGTTTGTTTGTGTAAAAAAATGCAACGATAACAAATTATCAAACAATTGTCGAATAAAAGAAATAACAGAGATGGACATATATATTTTATGCGCGTAGATATTTTTGTAGCCGTACACGTATGTGTGAATTTACGAGCACACAGTAATACACAAACAAACAAAAATGCTGAGTGAATGTTATGAAATTATTTATAATATATTGACTGCCTTGTCGATCGAAGCTGGGTAACGCGTGATTTTTCGCTCGTTTATGGATAAAGATTTTACTTATCCGATTTGTTAAATATTATGAAAACGATTTGACAGATTTATCGAAAACAGAATTGAAAACACAAAGACGAACACGAACACGAACACGGAATAGTGCATCCAAACGCAGTAAATCGTTCTGTTAAATTACATAGGCGAATGGCATCCAAAAAACCGCGAATTCACGCGGGAACTTAGTGTGGCAATCAAACATGATAAAAAAAAGTATTTGAAGATAATGTTATGCCATCCCATTATGATTACTATCTTGCTTTATCTTAAGTACTGCCTTCCAATAAAATGTATGTACTTAAGATACGCTTGTTACATATTTTGAATCATTATTTCTTCATAATGGAATATGATATCCTACAGTTGTCTGTCCGTTATAAGATCAATTATTGTGAACTCTACGCGAAGCGTGATATCATTCCAAATAAATATATAAGAGTTTCGAAAAATTAATATTTTCCGTTAACCATGAAATTTTTAATAAACGTTATATCAGCGGGGGAAACTTGTTTAAGAAATGTAAAACGTACGCGATATTTTGTAAATTTGAAACAATGTTATAAAGTGATCTGTGCTTTAATTAAACGATTTATAGTTTATTTAGACCACGCTGCAGTTATTCCTTTATGATAAAATTTTATCACGAAATTAATCGAATTGAATCATCCGATAGCCGCGTATTTTTTACAAAAATGAATTCGTACATTGCTCAAAGTGGATTTACGAATGCAAAAGTATTATTTGTTACTCGTAAACGTAAATAAAATCGATTTAATTTTGTTGCAACACAGATTAAGACGTCGTCGTTATCGAATACGCATGCGTGAAAATGGCGACCTATTAGTCGCACTAAGACCGAGTACAAGGATTAAAGTAATAAACAACGTTAGTGAAACAACACTTGTTACTTTTACTTATTCTACATTCTATCGCCGAATTGTGAGAAGGTTTGAGAATAATATTGTTTAAAATCGCAACATTCGGTAGCGATTATTCGTAAATCAAAATGTGCGACGACGAACAATGTTGCACGCAAATTGGTAAAAAGAAAACGAATTCTCGATTTACCCTGTTGGATCTTCCCGTCGAGGTTCGTATTTATAATTCCCATTAGTGAAATAACGCATAGAAAAACGAGAAAACTGTAAACAAAACCATGTGACTTCTAAGAATAGTTCATTGGTCGGTTTTATCTATGCTCAGGGCTGTATTGTTAGTGGTTGTTAGTTTATTCATTTTCTACAAGAACGTAAAAAAATTTTAACACAATTTTATTATTATATTTCAGATATTTCTTCATATCTGTTCCTTCAAAGATTAGAATTCGTATTCTATTGTTTCGAAAATCGATTCCGACCGTATAAACAATATTTAGCATATTTCATTCAACTGTCAAATACGCAAATGTATTAAAATGTATTTAATAAACAATATTGCGTTCATTGGATCGATGAGCTACGATAAAGTTGAAATAGTAACAGGTAGTGTTTCGAAACGTGTGTTGAACCAAAACACGTTTGATGTATTTCCTTCAAATATGTAGAATTAATGGGCATCTAAGCTTCTATTTAAAGTTTCATTCATTCCTGGTTGCCAGCCCTGACTTGGGAGTTGGTTATTGTGACATTGTGAGTCATGCGCGCTCGTGCAAGGCTGTAACGAGCACGAGGACCAAAACGGTAAATAATGTCAGTAAAAAACACCCGTTACTTTTAATCATTTTCATTGTACGGTGAATCACCAAAGGTTTGAGAGTCAGTCGAATGATATTGTTTAAAACTGTGACGTTCGGTACTGGCTATTTTAAATTAAAATGTGCGATGACGAACAAAGGAGCGCAGAAACCGAGCATAATAAAACGAATTCTCGATTATCCTTGTTGGATCTTCCAGTCGAGGTTTGTATACGTAAATTTTGACAGTACTTGCATAGATATATGTATAGAAATTCCATCAGTAAAACAATACTTGAAGATTTGTAATACTCGAAGTGTCTAATTTTCACGCTTGTTTGAATAACTTTCACCGTGTAACAGTTGTCGTTAATGTTTGTAAATTTGTTCGATTACCACAATGCACTGATCGTTAAATGAAACCCTTGCTATATTTAGTGTTTACAAACGTTGGAACAACTGCCATTTAAATACCTGTCAATAAGTTCATTTCGATAATGTTACCGTGAATGATAGACATGGAGATATTTTCGAAGTAAAAGTATGAAGTTGAATAAACTCTGTTAGCGATGACCTGAAACGTATACTATTAAAAAAACAAGTAAAACATCCCAGAAATTTCATCGAAACGTCAGTGGTCAGCCGCCATTTTTAGATGCCTATTACGCACAATGCATTTAAAAATACGATTCCGTTGCGACGAATGCACGTTTTTAAAACGTTTCTTTCGTAGAACAGATTTAACCGATGCATTTTAACATTAAATAATTCTAATGCAATTTTATTATTGTATTTCAGATATTTTTTCATATCTGTTCCTTCCTAGATGCATCTACATTAGTACATGGGTTGAGTTTAGTATGTAAACAGTTCCATGAGATTTTAAACGATAACTCGATGTGGAAAGTGAGAATTAATCATATTTGGCCAAATACGGATTACCCAGTTTTGCCACCTGGTTAGCTCAAATTGATAGCACCTTGCGCCTTGCATGACCAATCATTCTGTAAATAAATAAAACACCATCTATTTAATGTACATGATAGTTAGTTGTATTTCACGTGTTCCATGTACCGAGTTTACTTTTCACAAGACCTAATTTTCACCCTATTAATTATTTAATTTAATTAACAGGAATAAAAACACTTCCATGAATAGTTACGTAATGTCACATTTAACTTTCTATTTGGAATGTATTCTTTAATAACATTTGCTAACAATTCTGTTTGTATTTTGTTCATTCATGGAAATATTTTCGTTAAGATGAAGATGATGAACTGTTTTGGAAATTATCGTGCGTCGCGTTGGAAAGACAATCTTCTATATGGAAGGACGTGGAGTCCATGGATAGGATGTCACTTGGTAGTGTACAGTACAGTACCATCGATGGCCTGCTATTAATGGAGGTGGGTAATGTGTCTCGTCGTATCTTTTAATGCCCGATAAATTAATATCGTGCGTTAAATTAGGGCGGACAGATTTGTATATCCGGAGCAAGAGATCGATCCTTAATGTTGTGGAAGCTTCCTACGGAGGAAAATAATCAAGAATCAATTCAAAGTATAGATTTTGCTCACGACGGATGGATTTGGGATTTAACAGCGATCGACAATACAGTTTACAGTTGCAGCTGGGATCAAACTGTTAAAGCATGGACCCTTACAAACACCGAGCTTGCCCTCTTCAAAACTTATGAGATGTACATGAAAACCAAAATGGTCATTTTCGTTGCTCGCGGTGTGGGAAGGCCGAGCGAGGAAGGCATGAATTTTTATCATTAAGCAATAGTTATTTAATAAAATTAAAATGTTACTTTAAGGTTTTTCGAGAAAAAAAAAAAGAAACGATGCAGAGAAACAGCTTAGTAATTTTGCATGCTTTCTCTCGCTCTGCCAGAAATGACTGCAAAATGTTTTATCGCTCTAAGAGCTTGCAGTATTTTATGTACGCGTTAAATATCTTCTAGGATTGTTTCCGGTGCTCTGTTGTGTGTTGCGTCGTGTCCAGAGTTGCCCCTTTTTGCCACGGGTTCGTTTTGTAGAACCGTATTGGTATTTGACACGAGATTGGGCTGCAATCCTATCGTAAAGTTTCAACCGCATAAAAGAGCCGTTATTAGATTGTCGATGAGTTCTAATTTTATTTTATCTGCCAGCGAAGATAGAACTGTCGCTATATGGGATCAAAGGGCAGGAAGACTTATGAAAAATGTTACTGTAAGAGAGTGAACTTTTTGTAAAGAGAGAGAGAGAAAAAAAAATATGCTATCGTTTTAATTGTTCCGTGCGAATATATTCCAGATCTCACAAGAATCGTTCCCCATGAGCATGTGTATGCGAAGAGATATGGTTTATGTTGGAGATTGTAGCGCAAAGTTGCATGTCTTGGATCCAAAAAAAGGTTTCGAACTGGTTAAATGTTATAGTACCGGTCATAAGAAAGGTATTAGCGGTGTTCATGTGGGACCAGGATATTTGATAACAAGTTCGACCGATGAAACAGTTCGAATATCCAGCCCTACTGATCCTCCGCAACATATCGTCACTCTACAGACGCGTTTCGGTGAAGTAGCTAGCGTAAGTGTCCAGCGTAACATTGATTTACGCTAGATACATTCATACAGGGTTTAATTTCGTTTTGCAGATTGATTATTCGAACGACGTCCTTGCTATTTCTGGTACGGATGGGATTGAAGTTTATAGGGCGAGGATGCGATGTACATAAAAATGTCGATAATTTAAAGATTTTTACAATCATTTCGCTTTTATATACTATATACTATACAAATTTTAATAAAGAGAATTATCAAATAAGAGTTACGAATATATTATACACAAATGTTTAATAAACGCTTTCCTAATTATGCTGTTAACTAATTACTCCGCTGTAACGCGTTGCTCATTTTCAGTTTGTGACAAATAAATAATAAATGTATAATACCATATTATTTTGGAAGTAGGAATATTACATATTACATGCTCGTTTGCTAAATATTTTTAAAGCGTTGTTTGAATTTTTTCAGATTTTCCCGACCGCTTCAACAATTTCGATTAAAATGTAAGTCCATAAAAGTTATCGATTCGTTTCGTACATATAAATCGTAATTTTATTCGTACATTTAATTTCGCGAATTAGTCGATCAAAATATCAGACCGAACGTTCGTCGAAGACCGGGAGAATTTTTCTTTTCATTATTATCCACAAGCTGTACTGCTAATTAGTAGGTGGATATTAAGAGAAAGCGATAGTAATCTCACGTGAGATTGTACGAAGTACCGTTAAATTCGAAAATATACTCTGCGCAATGCGAGCAGGGCCAACTGTTCGAAACGACTCCGGATCGTTCGTCGTGTTTACACGTTACGAACGTTAAAAATGTTATTTCGGTTCCATTCCCTTCAACGTCCATTATTCAAAATAATATTTGAAATGCACGCAATTCAAATACTCACTCGGCTACGAATACGAGTTCGAAACAATAAGCCGATCGATGTCTCTGCCGTCGCCGGAAGTGTTCGTCTGCTAAGCTCCGAGAACGTTCAATTGTCTGTCCGTATTGGTTATGCGAAAACGTTATATCGTCGCGAAACGATGTTAAATTATTATGAAATAGCCTCGAAAGATTAATTACGATTAGAACGGTATAGCTCGACGAAAATCCATCGAGGTGATCGAGTGTCGTTAGCCGGTATTCCAATGCTTTCGTGGCGCGGTGGTGGGGGTAACCGTGGGGAGCTTCCGTTTATCTGCGAGGTCAAAGAAGGCTGGCCTGGCTGGCTGTGTTCAGTGGTGCTGTTGAAAAACACGATGAAAATGGCGTGGCAACCGCAAGAGGAAGGACTTAGGCAAATCATAACGCTCCTGAAAGAGTCTCAGAGTCCAGATACGGCTACTCAGCGAGCTGTGCAAGAAGTATCCTTTATGGTTTGGTGTCAAATGGTTTCGTGGTGCGAGAAATACGGTTGAAAGGCTCGTTCCCGGTGAGTACACTCGCGACGCGGTAATGCAAGTGAAGCGGGTAGATAGGTCGATCGCGGGGCGTGCTTTTTCCCGTGGAAATTTCCCGTTTCGGGAACCACGGTCGGATTCCATGGGAAAATCTAACGATTAACGTCGACGGATAGTCCAAGGCTACCGGGCCATTCGGTCGGGCACGGGACGTGAAAATGTTCGGCGCGCTTTTGCGCAGCCTGTCACGGGCCCCCTTTTTTGTCGTCCACGGGTTCGATTGAAAAGCTGTTAATAATCCGTATCGCAACGAATATCAATTTTTCGACGAACCAAGCGCGCGTTATCGCCCAACGACGTTTTTAGACGTTTCGCGAGACTGTCCCGCGAGAAAATATTAGAATTCGTGGAGTCTAAGTCGACAGAAGTTCGTAACTTTTTCTAGAATAACACGTGAGCTATGTCCAAGCTTCGATAAATATGTTAACGACGTGCCTGCGGTTTCGCTGTCGCGGTTCGCACGCTGAAATTCTGATAACGTCCCCGACAAGTTTGTTTTTCTCGATGTTATGATCGATAAATTTCGCGTATAGTCGCGCCCGTAATGTTAATTAAACAGGCTCCGCGAAATGATACGGTGGACGAATGTTGGTAGTAGTGTGTTTGCCGCGGATTACAGCTGGCACGGCACAATACAGTTACGGGAATTTAAATTTTTTCTTTACGCAGAGTTTTTCTCGCATCGCGATCGTATCGTTGCGCGTACGTGTGTGTACACAGCCAGTTGAACAGGATTTTCATTGGTTCGACGAAATTTTTACTCATCTGCTCCGTATTATTAGTCATTGTGCCTCTGTATTATTAATCATCGTGAACATAATTGTACAATAATATCTTATTATCTTTTTCTATATTTGTTACATAATAGCAACAGTTACGATACATAATTGTAGCGTTTATATGCTTTCTTTTATATTTTTAACATTTACGAACAATTGTTGCGTTTAACGTTTGTCTCTTTATTTGCCACTTTTCCTTAACGAACGTTCCCACAGAAATTGGAAGAATTAAACAAGTTTCCAGACTTCAACAATTATCTTATTTTTATTTTAGCTAAACTCACATCAGAGGGTATGTATTTCTAATAATTAATTTAACATTCTGGAATTTATTGTCGTCCGCTACGGTAGATTTTAATTCTAATGTTTTATTTCAAGACGAACCCACGAGGTCTCTCAGCGGACTGATATTGAAGAACAATGTTAAGGCCCATTTCCATAAGTTTTTACCAGAAGTTACAAATTTTATCAAACAAGAATGTTTATCTGCCGTCGGGGATCCATCTCCTCTCATTCGTGCGACCGTTGGTATTTTAATAACTACCATTGCGTCTAAAGGTAAATTTTTTATTCTCCGAAAGGAACCGATTGTCAGAAAATATCAGCGCTCGTAACATTATGGTAAATTTAATAGGTGAATTGACCACATGGCCGGAGTTGCTACCAGCGCTTTGCCAAATGTTGGACGCGCAAGATTTCAACGTCTGCGAGGGCGCGTTTGGCGCTTTTCACAAAATATGCGAGGACTCTGCAGAAGTATTAGATTCGGATGCGCTTAATCGGCCATTGAACGTTTTAATCCCGAAGTTCCTGCAATTTTTTAGACATTCGAGCGCTAAAATTAGAGCGCATGCTACCGGCTGTGTTAATCAATTTATTATTAGTCGTACGCAGGCCCTTATGATTCACATGGACAGCTTCCTGGAGAATCTCTTCCAGTTAGCCGACGATGAAGATGCCGAAGTGAGAAAAAATGTTTGCAGGTACAGTCCACATATACAGTTGTATTTTTTTTCAGTGAAAATTTCACGAAGAGATTTCCATAATACATTGTCCATAACGTTGTTCGTTACAGAGCTTTGGTTATGTTGCTGGACGTTCGGATGGATAAATTAATACCACATATGCACCATATAGTAGAGTACATGTTATTGAGAACTCAGGATACCGACGAGGGTGTTGCTTTGGACGCTTGTGAATTCTGGCTTTCATTTGCAGAGCAACAGATCTGTAAAGAAGTACTTACGCTACATTTAATTCGTTTGGTGCCTATATTGGTAAGTAGTGCGAAGCTAGAATTTTCGGGCTCGTGTTATCGGACGGTCTGATAAAAGAGAAATACTTTTCTAGGTACGAGGTATGAAATACTCCGAAATTGATATAATACTTCTGAGGGGTGACGTGGAAGAGGACGAAATGATTCCGGACAGGGAGGAAGATATTCGGCCGAGATTTCATAAATCAAAAACGCATCACATGCATTCTACCATGAATAAACATACAGACGAGAATGGCGACTGCGATGACGACGACTTGGATGTCAAAGATGGATGTAACGATGATTCGGCGCTTAACGAGTGGAACTTGAGAAAGTGCTCAGCCGCCGCGTTGGACATGTTGGCAAACGTGTTCAGGGAAGATCTGTTACCAGTTTTAGTACCAATTTTAAAAGAGACTCTCTTTCATCAAGAATGGGAAATCAAAGAGTCTGGAATATTAGCATTAGGAGCTATAGCAGAAGGTTCGTTCTTTGATAGGTTTTAGAACCCGCCGATTGTTTTGTCCGCTTTCGGATCGTAACGCAGTGTATCATTTTTCTAGGTTGTATGTGTGGTATGATTCCGCATTTACCCGAGTTAATTCCATATTTAATTAATTGTTTGAGTGACAAAAAGGCGCTGGTACGCTCCATTACATGCTGGACGTTAAGTCGTTACGCACATTGGGTTTGTGCGCAGCCACACGACACACATTTGAAGCCTTTAATGACCGCGTTGCTCAAAAGAGTACTTGACGGCAATAAACGCGTTCAAGAAGCCGCGTGTTCTGCTTTCGCAACGTTAGAAGAGGAAGCATGCACAGAATTGGTCCCTTATCTTGGTTATATTCTCGAAACGCTTGTTTTCGCCTTTGGTAAGTATACTGGCATGTAAAAAATTACTAAATAATTTTTAATTTTTTTGTTTGTTTTTTTTAAATACCTATTTAGATCGAAAGATGTCTTTCGACCTGTTACTAATTGGTTGCGTGTTCATAGGTAAATACCAACACAAAAATCTTTTAATATTGTACGACGCAATTGGTACGCTTGCTGATTCAGTGGGACATCACCTTAACAAACCGGATTATATTAACCTTCTTATGCCACCGTTGATAAATAAATGGAACGTATTAAAGGACGAAGATAAAGACCTTTTCCCATTGCTAGAATGTCTCTCCTCCGTAGCAACCGCGTTGCGATCAGGTTTTCTTCCTTACTGCGAACCCGTCTATAGGTAAGTTGTTCGTCGTAAGCACCCGGGGAGTTTGTAAATTTGATTGTATTTGAACGCTTATGTGTATCTTTTTTTTCGATAGGCGGTGTGTATCCCTTGTAGAGCAGACGCTAAATCAACATATAGCAAATACCCAGAGCCCCGAACAATTCGAGGCGCCTGATAAAGATTTTATGATTGTTGCGTTAGACCTTCTTAGTGGCTTGGCAGAAGGATTGGATGGTCACATGGAACGCTTAGTAATGAATAGCAATGTAATGCAACTGTTGTATCAGTGTATGCAAGATGGTATGCCTGAAGTTAGACAGAGCAGCTTCGCCTTGTTAGGTGATCTTACAAAGGCCTGCTTCCAACATGTTCTCCCATGCATACGTGAGTGTTACCACGCTCGTTTACGCAATCGATTTTTTACATTATAAAATCCCGACACCTTCGTACGAATTTTACTAACCTTAAAATCGTTTTCACTGCTGTAGCGGAATTTATGCCTATACTCGGGCAAAATTTATGTCCCCAGTTCATATCGGTGTGTAATAACGCAACATGGGCGATTGGCGAAATAGCTATTAAACTTGGTAAATCTTTTTTTTAAAAGATATTCAGCGCGTCGAAAGCACTTCGAAACCGGCCCATACTTGACAACGTGTTTCTTTTCTATTTTTTAGGATCCGATACGAGCGCCTATATTCCGCTAATTTTGAATCAACTTATCGACATAATCAATAAACCAGATACGCCAAAAACACTGTTAGAAAACACGGGTGAGTACCTGTACAGTATTGACCAAACGTATAGTTTCTTTTACACAGCATAGTATATGGAGCATACTTTTAAATGGTAGGGGGTAATGTGTAGGAAAGTTTTCATTTTTTTTTTTTAAGTAATTAATAATACCGAATACGTTTCTATTGTTCACCCATACCGTAGAAGTAATGTAATCTTTTTCTTACAAAGAAAGGTCCTTTGGCACAAGTCTGATCGATCGATGTGCTTTTTGCATTAGCTGTGCAAAAGCTCATAGGCGAGCGAGACTTGCGTCAAGCGATATTTCCTTGTTAGAAGTATGCTCTGCACACGACGGGAAACTTTTCATTTGAGGCATCGTGTTTCATCCGTTTTTAAATAGATCACAGAACCGTATATAGACCTCGTGTACCTTAGGTAACGATAATCATTTAATGAGAAGTCTCCCAAGTATATAAAACAAAAGAAAAAGCCCTCGTGTTTAAATACACGGCATATATATTCGGTGGCATTAATAAGTTTAGGTGTATTCTCTGTAAATGATTTTATCAAAGGTAATAACCACACAGATTTACGATTACGGGTGGTTTCCACATGGCCACGCTTGCACGTTTATCAGCGGGTTAAAAAAACCATTAGTATTTGTACATTGGACCTAATTTAGTGGTGTGCGATTGCCTGCAGGCTTTATATGGCTGGTATTGCCATGGAAACTTACTGCGATTCATTATTATACTATGCTTGCATCTAAAGCTCCAGATATTGTTTGAACCAGTGTTATATTAAATTGGCGTTAAAAGTTCACAACAAAAATCTTTTAGTTTCTGTGTTTCTTGGTTGTTCTTGTTTGTATTAACATTTATTGGTAGAGATCATACTCATGTCGGGGTTTTTTAAAAATCATGGGCTCGCACGCTGCTATCTAATTTTTATTATTGTTTCAGCAGCTACAATAGCACGGTATTGCCTATGTTCATTGTCGGTATTTCATATGTTCATCTCTGTTCCCACTGTCTCTATTAATTGTTAATATTGAATTGATTATTATTGATTAAATGATTAATTGAAAATTAATTGAATTTTATAAACGACAACATGTTCGCCTGAGTTGATCGTTGGTTCGCTATCAGTTTGTCTTATTGTTTGTGTTTCCGGTCACTTCACTACACTTCACTTGTCTACTTACCGAAATGAAATGAAAACCGTAGCCATAACGATCGGTCGCCTAGGTTATGTGTGTCCCCACGACGTCGCCCCCATGTTACAGCAGTTTGTCCGACAGTGGTGTGTAAATTTCTTTATTATTATATTCTATTAATTATTATATTACCTTCTATTTTTATTAGCACTTTATTATTATATATTATTCCCGATTATTCAGTACATTGCATCAGGGGCTGCTAAGAAACTTTGCGCAAAAAATACTGTAGCGTTTTATACTACAAATATCGAGTCCATAATGATTTTCTTTTCTTTGCCAAAAAAAAAAAAAATAGAGGTAAAACCTTTCGACGATAAACCTTGGGTCTGGTTTATCCTAAACGTAGTGTTTAAAACTTGCCCAACGTTTTTCGCAGCATCGAAGGCTTTACGTCCGATTCTTTCATACAAATTACAGTTATACCGATTTGCCATCGTGCAAGTATGTTATGGGCTCTTTAAATTATGCAGTTCAAGAGACTTAGGGTAGGTTTACATTTGTCACTTTTAGGTCTGTGTACTATTTTGGCCTATGTATTATTGCCTTGCATTGAAAACTAGAAATGTACCTTTTTTTCTTGTTCTTTTTTTCTTTTTCTTTTATACATACTTTCACTGTGTATAGGTAGTTTCAGTCAGAAGTGTCCTTTGCATGTTAATGATAACACAGTATTAATATTCGTCAGGTATATCTTCTTGGTTACATTCTTATCGTAATTGTAACTATCGTTAATGTCTCTTTACATTGCAATAACGGAGAAAGTATAAAGAGATGTCAAATGTAAACCAAGCCTTAACGGAATCGTTATTATTCGTATGTCCGGGAAATTGTTTTTGTACGAGGCTTTTTTATAAAGAGTATGTTCGACGGATGTTGCAAAGTAGTCGATAATCGATCTATCCTATTATATTTTAGATTTACATTGGATTTATTTTATTTCCTTGGATCGATGGTTTCAATTTTTAATTCTCAGTTAAGTTTTAGACTTGTCACGATACAGCAGAGATAAAGAAATGTAAGGAATATTAAGACAACATTCGCTAACAGTGTAAAAAAAAAAAAGAAAGACATTTATAGGAAACTCCAACATAGGACTGGTTTTTGAAAAAACCCAACAAAGTTGCCTCGTTAAATGTTATAGTCATAAGAATCTATTTATATATAACTTGTGGGAATGAATATTATTATCGAGCGACTAGCTGTAAATTTTTAATCAGGGAGAAGGTACATTTATCGTTACGGCCTGTCTAATAATCTTGACTCTTTTAAAGAGATACGTATTTTTCAGAACTGTTTTACAGCCAAGGAAGGTACAGATATCACGCTCGGCGTATTACTCCTCAATTAAATCGCGACAAATATACCTTCTTCAATCTGTGTGAATGTCGGTCACTTGGTAATGCGCGTATTCACTTTATTAGGTGTACTTCATTGCGGAGCATCAGAGACAACGAAGAAAAGGACTCAGCATTCAGAGGTATGTGTCAAATGATTACGGTAAACCCAGCAGGAGTCGTGGATGAGTTCATCTTCTTCTGCGATGCTGTCGCATCGTGGGTCTCGCCGAGAGAAGATCTTAAAGACATGATCCAGAAGGTAAAAGAATTGATATCGCGTCTATATACACCACGCCTACGTAAACGCAACGGTGGTCCGATCGCTGTATTTCGTGGCACCATAAAATCCGTGCGTCGTTTCGTTCCAGATACTACATGGTTTCAAAGCTCAAGTTGGTGCGGATAATTGGAAACGATTTTCAAATCAGTTCCCACCACAGCTCTATGAACGACTCCATAATATGTATGGCGTCTGAGCAGCCCTCCCTAAATGCGGTAAGTTGATTCTGTTCTTTGTTAACACTAGATTTACGGACATTGATCGCACGTATATTCATTGATACCTTTCACGTTGACGATTACCTTACAGTACGATTTTTATTTTAATTAGAATATGTATTCGTGCCATTGCATCAATCAAATTCAACATAAATTGTTAAAAAATAATATTTACGCGTTCTGCAATTTGAAATATGGAATCAAATATCCGTCAAATTGACGGCTTCCGTAAATCTAGTGTTAAATAACAATTGCGGAATTTACGTGCCCAACGTATATCCGTCCTTTCCACGGGAAGAAGTCACAGCGTGTTTACATCCCCACCTCTTGCTGCAGCCCGCTGATTGGCGGACCGCGACAGGAGTGGGGATGTAAACACGTTGTGGCATTCTTCTCGCGGAGGAATGGCAGATCGAAAGTATCAAAACGGTGATCACGAGTTCGAAACAAACGGGACACGATCTGTAGACCAATTACATCACGCGGGGCACATTATTTCGAATATTCCGGTTTGTTTCTGTTAAGTTAATGCGATGTAATGTGTCTATTTCAGAAGGCCGCTTAATGGGGCAGGCCGAACGGGGTTGGGCGGGAAACAGAACTATGGGTGGACAGGGTGGGTGGGTGAAACCACGGCCTCTTCTCATCAACATCGTTGTCGTTACCGTGTTATGGTCATCGTCAGGCTCTCGGGGGAATTAATACGCGTCATTAGCTCTGCGGTCGGCGAGCTTTAAAGCGAAAAAAAAAAAAAAATAAATAAATAAATAAATAAATAAAATCGAAGTGAGAATGGAACGAAGAAAAAATATGAGAACGACTAAACAACGTGTTGGGCCGAAACGTAACGCGTGGGTGGGCGGGTAGGGGGGCGGGAGGGAGGGAGGGAGGAACTGTGTTGGGGTCACCGACCACTTTAAAATGAAAGGTATCGTACTACGACGCTGAACCGCATTAAAAATGAAAATGATACCTTAACGTAGTAAAACCTACACGCTGTACACTCCGTTTCCATTAGCGCTGTGTAACACTGTTAAGTGTTTTTATTCTCGCGTATCGAAACGAGACAAGAAAAGTGCTGCCGGCGAATAAACAACGTAGCCCGGCCGTAAATCGAAACCGATTCTTTCTTGATTAGTTGGAAGGGGGAGAACGTATGCGAGGGAGAAAAAGCGAAAAAAACAAGAAACGAACGAGAAAACAATAAACTAATAAAATGGACAGAAAAAAAAAAAAAATTAAAAAAAAAAATAAAAAAAAAAAAGCAAACCCCGAACGAATGAAACAAAAGAGAGGGAAATATAAACGAGCATAGATCTCACGTTATAGAGCTTGCTAAACTACTGTGATCGAAGGATTTGTATTGATATAGAAGATTCATTTTTCGAGAGAGGTGTACACACACATACACACGGACACACACGCTTACACGACACACATTACCATTCAATGAGTTGCGTAGAGCTTTAGAGGACAAAGAATATAGAATATTTATTTGATAAAGGTACAGATAGAGAGTATGTTATTAGAAATTTCATAGTGTACAGAAAGTTTTTGAGAATATGTATTTTTATACGTTGAAACTCAATGATATAAACACAGAAAGTGCCATTCCGTTCGTTTTGAACCAAAATTTTTTTCTGCTTACTTTAATTCATCTCCTTGCGCTGATTGTGATATTAGGTTATGCGGCAACATTGTCGTCGTATATGAGAAACATATTTCAAATACGATTAATATATACATACATATAGGGCGTATATGTATATATATATTACTGTTATTATTATATATCGAACATATGATGTTTTAATCTGCAGACCATTTTATGAATATATATTTTCGTTAAAGATATTAAATTAGGATCATATTAACGTTAGTGTAAATAGATAATACAATTTTAGAGTGGACGTTTTTGTTATCACATGATAGAGTGTAATTCAAATTCACTTGTAATCACCTCTTCGGGTTAATTGTTGTTTAATGACCAAGGGATACGTAAGAAGATTTATAATTTGCAGGTACGATTCACAGAGTTTTTGAATCTATGACGTGAAATCTATTGCGGTAGGAAAATTTTACGCGCACCGTACCAATGCTGATCTCCTATTTCGTTTCGAATTCTTTTGTATGTGTTTAGAATTTGTGTTTGAAATTCAAGCGCAGACTGTGTCATTCCAGTCCATTTTGGGCCAGTTCGAAAATGGCGAGCACTATTACCGTACCAAGATGCGCCGTGTATCGATGTTTCTCGAAGACAAAGCAAGGAACCAAGAATGAAAAAAAAAAAAGATAAAAAAGTAACAACGGAAAAATTTCGAAATTGTTAAGAATGTATTTGTGTATCAAGATCGTAAAAGTTGTAAAAGCCCGTGAAAGCGATTTTCTAGTATTTTAATGGCGTATCGAAAAGCTGTATTTTTTATTTTCGTTCTTCTCATTTGTCAATGCGTTAATATAGAAAAACGGAAACGAATAAGTGTAAAAGCAAAAAAAAGCTCAACGCATGGAAATCGTCGAAATAAGCTGACCGTCGTTAAGTCACTGTTGTCAATCAAACTTTGAAGTTTATTAATAAACGAAAGAACTGGCAGGATGAACTAGCGCAGGCGAGAGATAGACGCTGAAAGAAAAGAAAAGAAAAGAAAAGAAATGAAAAGAAAAAAAAAGAAAAACGCGTTGATTCCGTTGCAATCGTACCGTAACGTGCAAGACAATTTTTTCGATCCAACACGATCGAGCATATTCGCACACTCTCTAACCAAGTGTGACTAGTACAATCCGACGATGAGAATATTTTTTTATCATTACCGTAGACTAAACGAAAAAAGAAAAAAGAAAAAAAAGATCATTATTTTGCTGTTCTTCTATTTTGAGCGAAAGAAACACCAACACAACCACACCACACTCGTTAAGAGAAAATGAAACTTAATGATAGTCTCTTTTCGCGTTCCGAAAAGATAAATAACTGCGCAGAGAACAGAACAGTACGATTCGTGACCGCTCCTTGATTCGATCCAATGCTCGTCGATTGGCAACGATCCATCGCCATACGCACTTGTCCCGACATTTTGGTCCTTTCCTTGCTCTGCCTGCGCCATTTTTGTGATATTACTATTTTTTATAATTACTTAAGGGCTTGGATGAAAATAGAAGAACCGAGCCACGCGGAATGTCTTGACGGTAGCCTCTATAAAAAAATTCGCGTACCCTTTATCGCACCCCCGCTTTGTTATGTGTGTTTCGCGTATGTAAATAATGCGATGTAAGATCATTTTCACAATTTTCCCAGAATCAACTAGAATTAATTAACGCAAGATGTACACAAGATGTTCTGTAATTCGTGTAGAATATTCTGGAGAAGATGATCGCTCCAAAATTAAGTTGAAAATTTAAAATAACATTTTTTCGCGCCAAGAAGGAAAAACTTTATTGTACGTTTTGGACTTTGTTTTCTATCAACGATTTCTATTTATTACCGAACGATCTGTGTGTATATATATTTTTTAAATAGTTCCTAAGCTAAAGCAAGAATGTATTCAGTGGTAGACACGTGTTTTATACAGATCTCTGGTTTTTTCGTATTGAATTTTTATACCGTGATCGTTGGCTGAAAGAACGGTTTCATACATGTCCTCCGCCTTATCGTTGTAAATATAATTTCGATTAAACGGCATAGATAAGACCCCGCAGGCACACGCGTGTTCTAAAACAAGGGCCACCGTCGAGACTTTCGCGCGGCTCACGATTATTTATTATGCTCGGAGCTCTCAGTCAAGATAAGGACGAAAATAAATTTATAAATGGAACATAAAAGTAAACTTAAAGAATCATCTATTTATACATATATATAAATATTATATAACGATGGTGAAACGAAGTTGATTGATATTTGACAAATTTCCAAGTTTTTTCTATCGCAAAAGAGAGTGAGAGAGATTTAAAAGTGTGTGTAGAGAGAGAACGAGAGAGTGGGAGAGAATGGAAAGGGAATGTGCATGTGGGAGAATACACGGGATGATTGCAAACAAAACAAAACACGGGAGAAAGGTGAATAAAATGAAAGATAAATGACGAGTAAAATAATTAAATGACAAACGCAAGTAAATAATATTGTTGTATCTTTATTGTTGTTGTTGCATGAGCATAGCGTAATAGACTGAGCCATACAAGTGGTTAAATAATAACTATTAACGTAATATTTCTTAATTAATACTATATTATTATAATTATTGTACGGTGTGTATTATATTTAATCGTAATGCTTCGTGCGGGCAGTGTTCGGAGGGGGTTCCTATCCTTTGGGGTTCAAAAACTTAACTTTTGGATAGTTTTTTTTTTCTCCGTGCGTAAAACCCCGTAGACACTCTCTAAAACCATTTTTTTTTTTTTTTTAGAAGAAAATTCATGGACGATCATATTTCCAATGAGAATTGTACGCCGCCATTTTTCACAAGTGTAATCTACACTGCCTTTATAAATTGTACTTTGTATTTGTGTATATGCGTGTGCATGTCCTGTACATATAACAGTATACATTGTTTATTACAATCGAAAAGCCACGATGTTTTACGCAGATCAGAAAAAATATGGCTTCCAGGCTAATTTTCGCTTGCCAGATAATTTCGTAGTTAACAATAGACAAAAAAAATTGTTGTCCACAGTCGATGGAACAAATACAAAGCTGTAAACAGTCACGTTTATTTACCTTGTTTTTTTTCAACAATTTTTATTATATTGTCGTTTTTTTTTTTCGTTTTTACATGCAATTTTAGAACTTATTAGATAACGTGTAAATAAACTCTAGGCACGATCCTCGTGATTGTTGTTAAAAAGTAATTTACAAAAATGAGCTCGTTCTCCGATCGACTTCAGCTTACCGTATCTGTTCCAAGAGATATTATATTTTAAGCAATTTCGAAACATTAAACGCGACAGAAAAATTTATCTTCTCCCGCTCAAAGGATCGGAACTTCATGGGGGCTGTTCCTAGTACCTGATAATCCTATCCTTGCGGCACGAACGAAGGCTCTTCTCTTCTTTCGAATCGAACCATCGTCATCCGTCTGTATAAGAATTCTCTGTTCTCTCGCATCTCGCAAGCGCCAGCGAATTCCTCTGTCCAGTGTTTCACACTCGGTATAGAGAAAACGTAAAAAAAAAAAACAAACAAATGGTGTTTTTATTGTTGCATACCTTGACTGCTTAGTACTTAAGTAATATATGTACATACACATCTAGACGAAAACTCGAGACTAGAAATTGCAAGTAAGTTTTTTGCATGATAAGTAAAAACAAAATGGAAAAAAAAAAAGTGGAAAATAGAGACTGTTCCATACACGGATACATATACAGGGTGTTCGGCCACCCCTGGGAAAAAATTTTAATGGGAGATTCCAGAAGCCAAAATAAGACGAAAATCAAGGATATCAATTTCTTGACTGAGGCTTCGTTAAAAAGTTATTAACAATTAAATTCAAAAATTTCAAATCGTTTTGGAAAAATTACTTTCGGCTGCGGGGGTTAATTATAATCATTTTTGGTGAATAGACATAACCCCGAAATCCAACCCATTTTCTAGAAAAAAATTCGAGAAGTCTAAATTTTTCGACGAAAAGGAAAAATTTCAAATCGTTCTGGAAAAATTATTTTCGGTTGCGGGGGTCAATTGCAATCATTTTTCGTGAATAGACCTACCCTTGAAATCCTACCCATTTTCGAGGAAAAAATTCGAGAAGATGTGAAATTTTTCGATAAAATTCAAAAATTTCAAATCGTTCTGGAAAAATTATTTTCGGTTGCGGGGGTCAATTACAATAATTTTTGGTGAATAGACAT